CCCTTTCTCAGAGGCTTAGGTACCACAAAACGACTTATCCCCTCTAAATCTCGATACAATACACCATCCAACAACTTGAATTTATTTACAGCGTTCCTCTCATATGGAGTTCGGTCACCTTCACCCCTCTCCAATATGTTGATTAATCGACATGTATCAGGATCAGCTTGTTGCATGTATCGTACACGTTCTTCCAAAGTCATTAATGTCATGACCAAGGATCGATTATCCAATGCCTCTTCTACTGCTTGTACACTGTCCGTAGTACCTTCCAAACGACTCAATGCATCAACGTGAGCCATCCGCTCGCCTGATCGGTACTTGATATTCATTTCAAATTCTTGTAGTAGATCGAACCAACGAGCCACCTGTGGCTTTGCTGACTTGTTGGTGTTCAAATATACCAAAGCCTGACAATCAGTCACCACTGTGAATCTGATTCCAAGCAGATATGGCCTCAATCGAATTAACGTCCATACAATCGCGTATAATTCAAGTCTACTGGAGTGGTAATGTGATTCCGCTTCGGTTGTTCTTTTGCTCACCGCATACACTAAGTGTAGTGATTTCTCAGTGTCACCCTGCATTAACATGCCCGATAGACCTTTTGCGCTAGCATCTGTGTGTACTTCAGTCACCGGTGATTCGTGATTGTATAATTTCAACACTGGAGCAGATGTCAGTATACGCCTCAATTGTTCAAATGCTCCTTGTTGTGCATCCGTCCATTTCCATGGTAGATCCTTCTTCGTCAAAGCCGTCAGTGGTGCAGAAATGTCCGCATAATGTGTTATGAAACGACGGAAGTATCCTGTCAATCCGAGGAATCTTCTTAGTTCATGGACATTTTTTGGTCTTGGGTAATTCTCAATTACAGCTATTTTCCGACCTGGACGCAGCTGACCTTCCTTAATATTAAAACCTAAGTAATCCAATTCAGTGACTCCAAAAGCACACTTGGTTGGGTTCAAGGTTAACTTAGCACGTTCAAGAGCTTGAAATACTCTTTCCACTTTCCTACACATGTCTCCCCAATCTGTTGCTGGAATAATGACATCGTCGATGTAACAACGAACAACACCTTCCCTCTTGAGAGTTCCCAACACCTGGTCCATCAATCGGCAAAACTCAGCTGGAGCATTTCTCAAACCAAAAGGCATACGTTCGAACTTGTATACTGCATCAGGAGTGATAAATGAAGTCTTGTCTTTCGCTCCCTCAGCCAAAGGTATCTGTAAATAACCATTCGATAAATCTAAAGTGCAGAACATCTTACCAGCAGACAATGAACTCAATTGTGAATCTACATCCGGCATTGGATATGACTGTGATATTGTCTGACTATTCAATCTCCTGAAGTCAACACACAACCTCTTCTTTCCATTTGCTTTATTGACCAATATGACTGGTGACGCATAAGGAGACCTGGTCTTACTAATTATACCACTCCTGACCCATTCGTCAGTAATTTCCGCTATCTGTCTTCGCTCTTGTTCGGATGTGCGATACGGCTTCATCGATACAGGCTTACTGTTTTGTTCTTCCATTATCTCCATTGTCACCAAATCCGTGCAACCCAATTCTTGTAAATTTAATGCAAACACTGCACGATACTTATTCAGTAACACTGTTAGTTCTTCTTTTTGCGTGGAGTCAACCTGACTGCCTATTATCACATCATCTGTTGACAGTGACACTTTTGATGTTGACTGTTCTTGCACCAAGCATACTTGAACTCCATGTTCATGCTTATTAATATTGGCACATATTGATTCCACGTCCATATCTGCGTACTCAACGACAAACGTGTCATCTTGTTTGTGGTAAGTAATCTGAGGCAAATTGAGCCAAGACTGTCCAATCAATACTTCTACTGGAATTGCTTTGTCTTCAACTACTAAGAATTGCACCTTGTCCGTCTTAACCCCATCGATAACCAGCTCTCCCATTACTTCTGCTAATGAAGTGATTCTAGGTGTCTTCATATCACCCACAGCATACAATGGTTTGATTGATGACACTATTGGTAATTTGGTCCGTACAGCTGCAGACGATCGGATTAAACATACTGTACTACCTGAATCAATGAGTCCATTGAATTCAACTTGGTTAATTTTCACTTGTTTCCCAAACGGATTCTTCCCTGCACACCCCGCCACCACAACCTGGCACGTTCTGGCAGGATGTTCTTGCTTAACAGAAGGACATTTGCCCCGAGTATGTCCTTCGGCGCTACACAATGAACATTTCATTGGTCGTTTTGGTCTTGGACAATCGCGCGCTATGTGTCCAAAACCAGAACAATTGTAACACTTAATTGTACTGTGTCGTGAGTCAGATGTCGGTGATTCTGTTTTCGTAGTGGTTCGTGTCGTCGATGTGAACTTACTTGGTTCTGCCTGGTTACTTGTTGTTTCTTTTTTTGACCACATCTTACTATGATCGACTTTAGTAATTACGGAAGTGTTTGGCTGATCTCCACGACGATCAGACTGACGTTGCCACTCCAATATATCTATGAGTAATTGGTCTTCGTCATAGTGCTTCCTTCCAAATGCATACATCGCGAGTTCCCGAGATAAAATGCCCTGTAGAACATAATCGCGAAGTTCTTCGAACTGTAATCTGACACCTTTGCACAACCGCACCTTATCTTGAAAATATGACATCAGTGATTCATCCTTGTGTTGTACACGACTGCGCATAGCGTCCCACTTGTCGGCCATGCGTAATTCACGTACGAACACTAGTTTAAACTTCTCACGAAACGTGGACCAACTCACAAAATTTTTCGATAAAAACCAATTACGTGCCGCATCAGACATATTCGAACGTACAAAATGTAGACAAAATTTGGATGGCCACCGATTCAAATCAGCTAAACCCTCTATCGTTTCCAACCAATCTTCGGCTACGTGAGAAGGTTCCAATCCAGTAAAACATTTCACTGACTTATTGACGTCTGGGATGACACGAAACTCTATCGATTCATCATTTGTCTTAGTGTTCAATGGTGTCTCGTCATTTTTCACATTTACCAGTGCTAATTCATCTTCTAGCTGTTTGAGTTTAGCTCGTTGCTCGTTCACTAATTGGTACAATTCATTATACTTAGGTGCTGTAATTTCATCAACGTGATCACTCGACATCGTCACAACAAACGATTCGCTCAAGACTGACAAGAAAATCTTTGTGATAACAACGGCTTATCACATGTAAACATAACCAGCTTATCAGCTCTACTAGCGATGCAGTCATCGATTGACACACCGTAACGTCAACTTATGCGCCACCGTTACTTCCTCCGCACACTATTACCACTAAACCTCGTGGTTTCGCAACACCAGTAGCGACTAATGAATGTAATAAGCACCAACCGTCTTCTGTGTTAAAACAAAATCAAAACGGCAACTACACTCGCGAACTATGGATTTATGATCCCACTTCTGAAAATGTTACTAATAGGTTTTAAACGAAGACAAACGAATTGTACTTACTAAAGCAGTTTTATTAAAATGCATAAACAAATAACAACAAACATACGAACATTACGAACAGAGCCCACAACCGGTACTCTGCGACTGACTATAACCATGACTGAATGGTCAAGCCCTTTTCAAAAAACAGGGTAGCCAACAATTAGTTTTGAAGAGACATAAAAAAATGTGTGATAGGTTTGGTTTTGATAAAAAAAGTTAACTGCCCATAACTTAAAAAATAAAAAAGTTAGACCCACTCTTTAAAGTGTATTTCTTCATCATTTTGGGTATACTTTCATATAACGTCAGCCGGTCACTTCACCCCGGGACACATTGTATATTTGTTTAAGATTCAAGATAATCGGTAATCTTCGTCTGTAGAGTATTTCTTTGAAACGCGATTATCTCGTATTTTGGATACTTCAAAAAAAATGTAGGTACAGTTACCCTCACTTGATTACGTATCATAAATCATAATATAATATTATAATCGCCCGCGGCCCGCCTCAACCATCTCCGCATGCTACCTATTAGATCATATTTTACTAGTATATGAAAGAAATAGACGGCTTATCGATTTTCTACTGTATATTATATGCATCATGCATGATAAATAATATAATATTATTAGGTATATATCGTTATAACTCATAAGTATGCGTGTTATGTTATGAGTTATGACTTTATGAGTCGTTCATAAGGTTTTTATCTTGCGCCGACTGCCGATTTTCGCACTTCGCAGTCTTGCTAGTTGCTATACTTTTGCGAATCCGTTCCATAACCCATTCAAAAATTCAAAATATTGAGTTTAAACAATATTAACATTTAAACAATTTATTTAATTTTCCTTTCCCTTTCTTAAAAAAATTGGTTTAATTTAGGTGAAAATAAATTCCATTTTCCCGACTGAAAATCAAAATCAAATATTGCCGAGTGGGGGGGTGTAACTCCCCATGACCCACAATAGGTTCGTCCCTGATCGTGGCTCTATCTGGTCCGTGGATGAAATCATGGTTGAAATCGTGGATTTTTAATTGTTATCTATTTTAGTATTATCATAGAATATTGTTCTATGGTATTATCTTAAACCGTTGTACCAGGAGTGGTAGCTGTGGTACCTCAGTTGTGGGGTTTTAAATAAATGCATAGAATAAATGTGGATACAGTATACACAGGTTATAAAGTTTCCCGCCAATTTATGGTAGACAACAACAATCATTAACAATAACTTACAGGGCAACATAAGTGCAGACTGCAGACTGTGAGACACTGATGGAAAATGGAAATAGTCAATAAACTAAACACAAGTGAATAGTCCGTTGTCTCTTAAACCTTGTGCAGTTGTGCTGTGTAGTGTATATCACAGTTTTTCTTGTAAGCACTTCGTCAATTTCACAACCGATATTCGATTTTTCTCTCATCGTAGTTCATGTTTCATTAATTAGCACAGACATTATCGTGTACTAAGCATTAATCATTTCTTGTTAAAATAAGTCATATCGTCGGTGTCATTTATTCACTATGGATGTCGCAGAAAATCAAATAGGTGTCAATAGGGTACGCGATCAGTTGAAAGTCAGATCTCAAAAATTATTTCAAGATTTTTTAGAGGAGTAAGTTTAAATTATATTTTAAGTTTACACCATAAGATAGTGACTTTATAATTGTTGTATACATTTTAGATTTGTCGAAGAAGGCTGTAATGAACCCAAATATTTAGAATCTGCTGTTGAGATGACAAATTCTGAACGTTTTACATTGGAGGTTAGTTTCCTTGATGTTGAAAAATTCAATCAGAATCTTGCCATCACCATTCTAGAAGAATATTACAGGTTTGACATTTGGCATATATTTTTTTAAACATTTACATAGTTTAATCAATATTTTTTATTTAGAGTTTATCCAGCTTTGTGCTTAGCTGTTGGTAATTTTGTAATCGATCGAACTGAAGCTACTGGAAACCATCTAGATTATTTTGTGAGCTTTGTAGATGTTACCACTAGGTTCAATGTAAGAGAATTAACAACTGCCAAAATTGGCGAGTTGGTACGTATTTCTGGACAAGTTATTAGAACACATCCTATTCATCCAGAACTAGTAGCTGGACATTTCACTTGTCAAGACTGTCAAACAGATGTACCCAGTGTTGAACAACAATTCAAAGTATGTCACTATAATTTTATTGAAAATAATTTAGATGTAGGTGCCTATATTGTTATAAAATAATTAATGTAAATCAATCTCAGCTCCATGAGCAACCATGGAAATTTATCATGAGATGATCAATAGAAATATTGAGTTATAATATATTAGTGCCATACAATAGACCAAGACACAAAGTACCTATATATTTTACATTGTTTTAGAAGAATCATTGCCAGTCCATATTAAGAGTACATTTATAGTATTTAATCCAAAATAAAGTATTATATTTTGTATTCGTTCAGACAATTTTGATGTATCTTTTTAATTTAAAGAATCTAATAGAAACAATATTTTTAATATCTATGTGTGTTAAGCCAGAAAAGTTAAGAGGACACTACACCAGCATACATTGTCTCTGTCAAATGTACAACATAAAATTTTTTCACAACTATACTCCCCTTGTATTTAATATTCATAGTAGAATTACAAAAATTCCACAACACAGGGAAGAACTTTACCTGTGTCATAGCGTTTTTATTATTTTGATAGCACTTAGTCTAACCAGTAAACAATAATTTTTAATTTTTAATCAAAAATAAACAAAACAAAAAACCTAATGATATTTAACTGATAACTTGAATTGTATTTTTATATTATCCAAATAATAAAAACGCTAAGACACAGATAACGTTTTTCCCTATGAGTTGTGGAATTTTGGTAATTCTACTATAAATGCAGAGAGAGTATAGTTGTCCTGGGCAAAACAGTTTTTGCTATGTTGTACATTTGTAAGATGGAGACAACATATGCGGATGTAGAGACCTCTTAAAGGTAGGAGCAAATAGTTCTCGTGTCCCCATTGTTAAAACCTATAATTATGCATACAAATTACAATTTTTATATTTTATGAGAGTTTCTCATTTCTCGAGTGTAGTATCTGGAACTAGTAAAAGGTTTTAAATTTGTTAAGACAAAAATTACTTTTACAGCTACATGATTAGTATTTTTAATGACTCATTTTTTTAGTTAATCCTTGGCAATGAAATGAATTTTTCTCTACAACAAGAGTATCGATTAATATTTCATGGTTCTTGATACTCATTATTATATTCCAAATTGATCAGCCATTTCAAATAATTGTATCTTGATGGCTTATTAAATGTCATCACAAGTGTGTTATCATATTTTGTACTATATCTTTCTGGGGACTAGGACTTATAATTCAGAGTAGATGAAATTGTTGGTCTTATTAAAAACTTGCCCACTCTTACTCGATGGTTTTATTATAATTTGTTAAGGATGACAATTATTTAACACTCTGTCTGCTTCATTATTCATTGACTGCATAACTTTCATACCTTTAATGTTCATTAAAATGTTTTTCTTCATTGTGTACTTACATTACTTTTTAATAATCCATGACTCAATTACTCTTTGATTGATATATTAATTTATTTTAATACTCATTTTTGATTCTATCAGATTCATTTATATTGTATATATTTGTTTCCTTTAGAGTTATACTAAATATACTTTTAAAATTTAAATGTTTATTTTTATTTATTATTTCAATATTTTAATAATTTAGTAAAAATCTACCAATATTTTATGTGCAAAATCAATAAAATAAACACATTTTGTATACAACGTAATTTGTATTTAAAGCCTGTTAATATTATTTTAGTATACTCAGCCAACTATATGCCGAAATCCAGTTTGTGCTAACAGAAGAAGATTTAGTTTAAATGTTAATAAATCTCGATTTGTCGATTTTCAAAAGATTAGAGTTCAAGAATGTCAATCAGAACTTCCTCGGGGCAGTATTCCACGAAGGTATACATTTTCTGCCAAAATTCTTAACATGTTGACTGCCATGTGACTACCGACAGTCATCTGTAATTCTCAAATTGTATATGTTTGTGACCGCCAGCACCCATATAGTTAATCATTATTACCCCGGCACATAGACATGACTGCCGGGACCTTAAATGACTATGGTTTTATATTATTAACTTTATTATGGCTCTACAATAATGCACAAAAAAAAAGTGATGTGGCGTAGCACGAATCATTAAAAATATTTTGATGTGATAAACATTTGTAACATTTTTTTTTTCAAATACAATAGTATATTGTACTAATTTGGAATGACACTAAAAAATATGCTTGGCAAACCGATATCAAGTAACTGCCAGCGGTCACATGGCATTCAACATGTTAAAATAAAACATTTATAGTAAAAATACCAGTTATAAATTAAAGAATAACATTGTATATTAGGCTTCTTCAATGATTATTATTGAATATCGATATTATTTTCTTTTGTACGATATTAAATCGTGATATCGAAAAAAAAATTAGATATTGATATTCCAAATTATCGGTATGTTTATGACTAGTAAACTAATTATTTTTAAATAAACAAGGCCATTACAAGTTCATTGGTGTTAAAATCAGTTGGTTTCTGGTAACCAGAACACCCCAATGGCCGGGAGCTATTAATTAAAAATTGATAATTAATTTTGAATATGATATATTTCAAATTGTAAGATATATAGTACAATATATTACGATTGTAAATTATCGATATCAAGTTTGCGATATTGTTGAAGAAGCCTATTGTTTATCTATAATTTTAGAAAATAATTAAAGTTATTAATGTAATTATTATTTTAGAAAATAAATTATTAATTTATAACCGCATATTATTTATTTATCTATCTATAGAGTATGGATAGAAAGCAAGCTATTATTATTAGAAATAACAAATTATTATTTGACTCATATTTCTATTTTTTTTGAAATAAAATAAAAACAGCCTTTTATTTATTTATGTACATCTGAAATTATTTTGTTATTTAGTCTTGAAATTATCCTGAGAAATGAAAATGTTGAAACTGTACAAGCTGGTGATAGATATGATTTTACTGGTACATTGATTGTGGTTCCTGATGTAAGTGTTATGTCCACACCTTCTGCCAGAGCTGAATCTGCTTCTGGGCAAAAACGAGGAGATGCAAATAATGAAGGTGTCAAAGGACTGAAATGTTTAGGAATCAGAGACTTGAATTACAAGTTGGCATTTTTGGCATGCAGCTTATCTGTAACAGGTTCAAGGGTAAGAAACCATAGATATAAGTACTAGTTTTTTTCTTTAATTAAAATGTTGAAAAAATATTTAAATTCATTTGTTTTGTAGTTTGGTGGAAGTGGAGAAATGCACAATGATGAATTGACTGTTGACTCAATTGAACGTATGAAGAGGCAAATGACTGGACCACAATGGGAAAAAATATATGAAATGAACCGTGACCGCAATTTATACATGAATTTAATAAATAGTCTTTTTCCTTCAATCCACGGAAATGACCAAATTAAAAAAGGTTTATGCTTATAGTTTTTACATACATAATTCTTTAATTAACATTACTTTATTTGGTTTAATTTATAGGTGTTTTATTAATGCTTTTTGGTGGAGTGCCAAAAACTACATTAGAAGGTACTACCCTTCGGGGGGATATTAATTGTTGTATAGTTGGTGATCCTAGTACTGCTAAATCTCAGTTACTGAAACAAGTGGCTGATATGTGCCCTCGTGCTGTTTATACTTCTGGGAAAGCTTCTACTGCAGCTGGTCTTACAGCTGCTGTTGTAAGGGATGAAGAATCTTTTGATTTTGTTATTGAAGCTGGAGCACTTATGTTAGCTGATAATGGTGTGTGTTGCATTGATGAATTTGATAAAATGGATATACGTGATCAAGTAGCTATTCATGAAGCTATGGAACAACAGACCATATCAATAGCAAAAGTATAGTATTTATAATCAAACAAATATAGATATTTTTGAATAAATAGATAAGTTAAGTTTTAAATTCTCTATAAATTTGACTTAGAAATAGTATATGAGATATCATCTTGTTTGTCTATCAATTGATTACCTTCTAATACATCTAATTATTAATCACTATATTATTTTTTGGTTTACATAAGCTAAAAACTGAACAATTAATATTGTTGTTATAATTACTTAAAAGTATAGGTATACACATGTATAGGAAACTTGTTTTAATTTGAACTTTTAGTTGTAACAACTTAAGGTAATGGATAAAAGTATATAGGCTGGGTGCATTGATGTGTTCAAAGACAAATATACTGAGATTCCTGTACTTTTAGAAGATGCATTAATTACTAACTTTCCTTACAGGATTTTTATGGCCAGGAATTGTGTTTATATAAATATTTGTGATACTCTGCATTTTATTAATGTGTTATTTATATAAAAATGATATTGACATGATTCTAGGCTGGTGTTAGAGCAACATTAAATGCTAGAACATCAATATTAGCAGCAGCCAATCCTATTAATGGTCGCTATGACCGAAGTAAATCTTTACAACAAAATGTATCCCTCTCAGCTCCAATCATGTCTCGTTTTGATTTATTCTATGTTCTTATAGATGAATGTAGTGAGGTAATTGAAAATAACAATTATTTTAAACATAATCAATAATTAATATTTAATTTATATTAATAACTGTAGGTTGTAGATTATGCAATAGCGAAGACAATTGTTGAAATCCACAGTAATATGGAAGATACAACTGAAACATTATATAGTCAAGAAGATATTTTAACATACATTGGTTTTGCTCGTCAATTTAAACCCCAACTCACAGTTGTAAGTAAAAGAAAATATATGTATATTTTGGGACTAAAATTATGGTATTATAATTATTAATTGGTATTCAATTCTTAGGAAGCTTCGGAGAAATTAGTAAACGCATATACTCAATTAAGACAGCGCGATAGTCAATCTAGTACAAAATCAACATGGCGTATAACAGTAAGACAGTTAGAGTCATTAATTCGTCTTTCTGAAGCAATGGCTAAAATGGAATGTTCAGATCATGTAAATTATTATTTATTTCATTGTAGAGAAAACAAATGTTTAAATAAAAAATTCAAACTTTCCTTAGGTAACACCTAAACATGTATCTGAAGCTTTCAGTTTACTTAACAAGTCCATAATCCGGGTAGAACAACCTGATGTAAATCTAGATGACGATGATGATGTTTTGAGTGGAATCCCTGAAACTGATGGTAATTAATAAATTAATTCTACTATTTATACTATTATTAAATATGTTTAATTTATTTCATATATTATACTAATATTATGTTATATTTAGGAATGGATGTTGATTCTGTAGAAGAACCAGAAAAACTAGGTTTAACTAAAAAAAAATTAACGCTTGCTTTTGATGAGTATAAACGAATTACAAACATGCTTGTTGTTTACATGAGAAGTGAAGAAGAAAAACGAATAGCGGGTATGTATGTAGCGGGTTTATTTTTAGAATCTAAACAGGGGTGGATCTTAGATATTTTGATAGGGAGGGAGGGGGGCCCATATAAATTGTATAATTTTAATCTTAATTAATAATTCATACATATTGCATACTATTATTTTTAAACAATAATGACTGGTAGTGTTATTCTTATTTAATTAATTTTTCATTTATATGATACTCGTAGTTACATAAAAAAATTGACAGGGAGGGCACCTCCTGTGTCCCTCACCTGAATCCGCCACTGGTTATGAGTGTATTAGTTTTACAATAGTAACTTTTTATTGTGAACTGGTGTTCTGTACTAGAAAAAAAATTATAAGGTAAAGGAGAAAATTCTTTGTACTTTTCAAAACAAAACAATAAAAATTAAGAAAAACCTGGAATTTTTACCTTCAAAATTGTTTAATTTTTGTAATTGAAAAAAATTAAAAGGGAATAACTGTTGAGACTTTTCATCAAATATTCATATTTGCCATTCACTAGATAATATGATAACATTTTCAAAATATTTTGGCTCTTGTGCTATTAATAGACATTTGACACTTTCTACTTTTTCAGTTTATTTTTGATTTATGTGTCTAGGTCATAGAGCTTACAGTTTTTTCTGTATACCAGTGTTCTAATCCCACAATATTAGTATTTAAATTTAATACCGTCAAACCTATTGTATTTTTTTTTCGGTATTTAATATTATCATTATTCTGGTATTACAGTATATCGTTCTATATCGGTACTGATTCTACCATACCACCATATCAGTATCCGATTTCAATATTATCAACATTTTGTACCTTTAATAAAAATTTTTTTCTTATTAAAATTAAAAATTGAATTTTCAAACGTATAATATTTAAATACACGTATAACGTGTAAAATTTAAACATTCCACTATTACTTAAATTATCATTTAAATTTTCTTTCTAAACACATTAAAATGTTCAAAATATTTAGACTTACCTCAAGCTTTTTGTAAGCATTTAAAGTTTAATAATTTTTTTACCGTCAATAAAAATTGTATGCTCAGCCAAAAATAGAAAATGTAATAAAAAATCTACATATTATGTTTTTACATCAATTTAAAATTATTGAATATACATTGGCACTGGTTTTTTATTGAAATTTTAAGTTACCATTTTGATAATGTTAGTTGTTGTAATGAAAGTAACTACTAGTTATTTTGTTAAAATTCAAAATAATATTATTCGTATGGACTTGAAGCTTATTGTTACCAGTAGCGTAATAAGGAATTTGGTTTGGGGGGGATATATGTTTTTAGAAAACATGAATGGTCATTATCAACACTGATGAAAATGTTAGCAATAAAAAAAAAGTTTTTGGGGGGATCTATCCCCCTAATCCCCCCCCTAATTATGCCCCTGATTTTTACTGTGTATTCTATTCACAATGATGTTTTCAAAATATTTGGATAAATAATTATAAGCTATTTATACCACAACAAACCTATTAACATCATTTATTGGTAATCTTTATTGACTTATAAATTAATAACAAGTAATATTAAAATGTATGCAATTTCTTGTTTGTAAAAATTAGTTCAATTTACAGTATTACTTATAGCATTATAAATATAATTTAATAAAATATCATTAGAATTATAGTCGGACGACCACCTCTGCTACAATCACTTTTGTTTGTAATATTTTGTTATTGAATTACATTTTAACACATACATTACAATGACTTTACTCAATGATAGAACTATTTAGCAAGTTTCCTGATATTTTACTTTGGATTGAATAAATTCCATTACTTTTTTGTGTTTTAGAAAAAGGGGAGAGTGATGATGGTGGTTTATTACGTAGTAGCATAATCAATTGGTACTTAGAGCAAATTGAAGATCAAATCAATGACGAAACTGAGTTGTTAGAAAAAAAAAGTTTTATTGAGAAAATATTGGATCGCTTAATTTATAATGTAAGTAAATTAAGACGAGGACATATATATTGTTTCTGTCTTACAAATGTACAAAACAGATAATTTTACATTCACAATAATCTAATTTCCTCTGTTAATTTAAAATTAGAGTGAATTGGCCAATTATAAAATTTAAAGGTAAGATTATTTTGTTGGAGGCTCTTATTTGTTTATTTTTTATTACTAGGGCTCGGATTTAAATGGCCTAAAAACTCTAAAAAATGCCCTAAAAATACCAAAAAATGACGTTTCAAAAAATGCATTATTTATTAAATAAATTCAAATTTAATTATTATTAAAAAATGAGGAACAAATAAAATTTTAATAAAAATTATAAATTATAAATTAATAAATTATATTACAATGTACAAAAAAAAAATTAAAATTAAAAATTAAATTATATTTGCATTGCATTGTACAATAAGAATTTAGTACTTATATTTCAATGAGGTCAATTTTTTTAGTCATAATACGACAAATAGGTAAAAAATGTCCCAAAAAATTATTATGGTTAGATTGCGAAGTACTTGAAACAAATTTGTAGCTTGGAAAGCATTGCGTAAGATATCCCAAAAAAAAGATTCAAATGCATTGAAATCCGAGCCCTATTTATTACAAAGCAATTTATGAGCATTTCAAAACAACTTTTCTTGTTAATTTTTATATGTTCATAACTTTCTTCAAAATTATAATATCAATGAGATGCCCTGAGATTTCCTAGATCTAGTCTTTAAATTTTCAATAGGTCATTTCGCTCTGATCTTAAAATTATTTAATTATCAGAGCAAAATGGGTTATAGTGAATGAAAAATTTGCTATAAAATGTGTTATACATTTGATAAAACATTTGAGTGTGGCGTCCTCTTAATGATATAATATAGATCTGTATATTATTTTACTAATATACTCTAAATATATTTATTATTTAATAGGATAATGTATTAATTGCCTTATCACAACAATCTAAATCACAGTCCAGTGCCACAGAACAAGAACAAGATGTTGTAGATGAAGATCCTATATTAGTAGTCCATCCAAATTTTGTGGCAGACCTTTAATACATTGTATTGTAATTATAATTTTTATTTTTCATCATATAATTTTAAATTATTTATAAATCAATAATAATAAATATTATGAGTTGTAAACTTGTTATATTTGCTAATTTTTTTTTTTTTTATATTAAATACTGTGAAATATTCTTATTTTACATTAAATTTTAAAGTGTGTATGTGTATTATAATATTGAGCTATCTATTTTTTTTATGTTAGTAATAAAAATAGTATTTAAATAAATTACAATCATTTGTATTATATTTTACAGTTTATGGACTATTATTTTGTCATTTTACATTCTGAGTGAAACGATGAATGTATTGAATTTACAATGATGTGTGTTTTTTAGATTCTGAGTGAAACGATGAATGTATTGATTTTACAATGATGTGTGTTTTTATATTTATTTTTTTTGTGTCTGTGTACACGATAAGTAGTCGAAATAATGCTTCGATTTTCGACTTCAGTATCTTGTTCGATTGGAAAGTGAATATCGTTGGTGCATTGGGGAGGTCAAAATTTAAATTTCCCAGTAGTTTTCAAGAGCGCCGGGAAAAACAACATAAAAATTAAGGAAAAACGGGAATTTTTACGCAAAATCGATTTTTCAGAAAATTGAATTTGGTTTTTGGTGTAACTTTAAAACAAATGACCGTAGGTACATGCAATTTTCACTGGTTGTTTATATTTGCATTTCCTATACACCATACAATTTTGAAAATATTTGCATCTTCTATACACGATAACATTTTCAAAATATTTTGATTTATTTTGAACAGTTTAGGGACATTTTCATTTTTCGTTTTTTTTTAGTTTTTTTTCTAGAAATATCAATAAAATTTTATTTGTTGGTTGCGAAAGCTTGAAAATTTAATAGAAGGCTCCTAATATATTGTTTCAAAGGCAGATGAAAAATATTAAAAATCCTTAGTCACAATTTTTTTTTATAAGCATTTAAAGTTCAAAAATTGACAAAATATGGAAAAATCACGAAAATTAGCAAATTATTTTGAGTTAAGAATTCGTAAAAATTTTTCTTTTTAAATCTAAGATTTGAAAATCTAATACAAGATTACTCATAAGATGGTCTACCTTTATCAATAAAAAAATCTCTACCGGAAAGTCAAATTAAATTTTTATGAGCGTTTGAAATTCAAATTTTTACAACATTGGATATTCACTCGATTTCTCATGTGGCAATTTCCTTTTTTTGTTGTAATTAAAAAACGAATTACTGTAGATACATGAAAATTTCACTGAATGTTTATATTAGCATTTCCTATACACCATACAATTTTGAAAATATTTTGACTCTTTTTGAGCCGTTTACGGACATTTTCAGTTTTCAATTTTTTTAGTTTTTTTTTTCTATAAATATCAATTAAGTTTTATCTGTTGGGCCAAAAAGTGTAAAAATTTAATACAAGGCTCCTGATATATTGTTACAATATCAGTTGAAAAATATTAAAAATACATAGGCACAATTTTTTTTTATAAGCGTTTTAACATCGAATTTTGACAGAATTTTTCAAAATCTCGAAAATTATTAATCATCGTAATTAATAAATTATAAAATGTTCAGTTTTTATAGCTAAGGATTGAAAATTTAAAACAAGATTCTACGTAAGTAGTTAATTCTCTTACCGAAAAATCTAAAAAATATACAATCACAGTTTATTTTTATAGTCATTTTATGTTCAAATTTGGACGAAATTTCATATTAAAAAACCTAGTTATTTTGTTGTGATTATATAATATTATTCGTGGGTACGGGGTACCTACTTGAAACTTCTAAAGTGTACTATTATATATCTATGATAGTATCAGGGTTTGTTATTGATGTTGATGTATAACATGTTATAAGTACCTAATGGATATTGTGATAATGTGATATGATTAATTTGGAATTTATTATAAGTCAATTTTTTTTTTAATACCATAGATATGTATATAATTTGTCATAAACCTAGACTGACATACCGTCTTCGCTCAGAATCGTTTTTCTTATACAATGATATTGTATCATTGAATTCAAATTTAAAAGCATCCATTATACAGTGACCCACTTGTAACCTACTGTACAGCAGAGCGACATAAACTTACCCACCTTTTTTTAAATTGAACTTAATTCAAATTGCATATAAATGCTTATTTATTATGACCTATATGCTTGAACCAACTAAAATGTATTAACCAATTATAATGATAGAAACTTGGCCTAACCTAATTGAATTATAGAAGTTATAAAAATTATTCAATTTGGGTACATCCCTAACAATGTGTACCACTAATAGCTAAGATAATATTTTTCTTTAAATATATATTTAATATTTATAACTAAGAAATACTTTCTGCCCTATCATTTTTTTCTGTAGCAATCTTAATTTCATGCACAAGTGCTTGAAGTCGGTTCAAGCTATGCAGTCTCTCAGATGCCCTACAAATTGAAAGGCCTTGCCAGTGAATGGTTGCAAAAGTAAATTAATAATAATAATTATGATATAATTAACGACCCAAAGGAAAATAGTACAATGAATGCTGTAATAAACAATAAAGTTAGAAGATGCTACCAGTGCAGTTGTTGTCTCCGTCTTACACACAACGGCACCGATTGATACGAAAAATGTTCTCAATTCTCTTTAAGGAGTAACCTTGGCAGCCAATTTGTGAGCAGGGGTGTGGCTTAGCCACACAGATGGTTCATCTGTGGGGTTGACAGTCAGGTATTGCCTGACAAGAAAACTGGTAGCTACGAGGTTACTTCTTAAATTAAATGGAGTTGTTTACCTAACTAACCTTCTTGGCCTCTTATGACTTAATAGGACACTTCAAATTAAAAGATCTGGAGTATTTTACCAAACTTAAGTGTTTGATTATCAAGTTGATCTGTAATCCATTGATTATTGAGACCTTAGGCTTAGACCATATACTATGGATGGATCCATGGATGGACTCAGTTCACCTGTGTAAACAATTTGAAGGACATACAAGACGAGTCTCTGTCATTTTTATTGATACATATTATCTGAAATTAAACAATATATGTTGTGTTTAATTTATGATTATCTCAAATCTTTCTATTTGTAATATATATGTAATATTCTTAACCCACATTTTGGAAATTATTTACCTCTTCAGTTAAAAGCCTTGATTATTTTACTTGGTGGGTAATATTACTAATATTATTTGTAAGTACATAATTAACAAAAGTCAGAAAAAATAACCACGACTTTTTAATTAAAAAATACATTACCTAACAAAAATCAACTATAGTGTTGCCATATAATATTATAATATGTTCTATACAGCATTGATAAATATGATAATAGGTACATTTTAAATTATTAAAATTAAACCCAACTTAATTTACTAGTCGAAAACGCACTTACCCCAAAAGCGCACTTGTCCCACCTAACTCTACTTTTACTTCCAATCATACCTACCACAGTTAATGTAAAATGTCAACTTTCAACTTTCAACAATCAACAGCTTCTTCAACTGTTGACACTTGAGGATGTCAGATTTTTAGCTCACCATTTTTAACATTATTGGGGGGACCCTTCTGTATAAATCAGTGGTTCCCAACCTTTTTACCACCACGGACCACTTCCACAATATTTTATAGGTCGCGGACCACCTCAATTTTTACGTAAACTAGGAAGACCTTTTTTTTTTTTACAAGAATACAAAAAATTTAAATTTTTATCATTTTACTTTACTTTTTATTACTATACTATTATATATTATAATTCTACTACTTTACTATACAAAATAATTTAATTTGGTAAAAATTTTACATTTATTAACAATTCAACACAAATTACTATAATAAAAAAAATGGGTATCATACTATTATTTTTATAAAAGGCAAATTTAATTATAAAAACAAGTTAATGTGATTTTTGCGCTTGCATTTCCTTTACTAACAAAGATATTCTTGGGGTAATATTGCTCAAAGCTACACGCATGTCTTTAGTGGCGTCCAGCCGATTTCTTTGTTTGTTTTTAATGTAGAGCAGTGCGGAAAATCCTTGTTCGCACATATAAGTTGTTGAAAACATGACTAAATATCTTAGTGCGATTTTTCGAAGCTTAGGATACGTAATTGCTTTTTTACACCAAAACTCTTCGATATTCATGGAAGATTCAAACGTATCCTTACAGTTTCGATCATTTTGTAACTCTATCAAATCTTCCTGGATATCATCATCCACCTCATCAACTTTGACAATAAAAGGGTTTCGAATCATACTTCGGACACCTTTCGTTTCATAACCATTATATTCTGGGAAATACCGGTTAAATTCATCTTTAAGTTTATGCAGATGGTGTAAAACATTTTGATGGACCTCAGGCACGAAGTCAGCATATTTTTCGTTGTCGACGATGCTTTTTAGTGTTTGAAACGTTGAGTAGTTATTCATCTCAACTTTACTTATCCATAAATTAATTTTACAAATAAATGCGCGAAGTTTATCTTCAAATATAAATATATTTGCAGCGCCTTCCAATTTATGATTTCCGGAGCCTTGTAATTGTAAATTAAGCTTGTTTAAATGCTCAAAGATATCGACAAGATAAGCCAAGTGCATTTCGAACTTATGATCACAAACACATTTCAATAAATCGATCATTTTTTTCTCAGTTAAAAACACTGTCACCTCCTCCTTAAGTGAAAATAATCGTGCCAACATGTTTCCTTTCGAAAGCCATCGGACTTCGGTATGAAAAAGCAAAGTTTCATATTCAGAATCCAAGTCCAAGCATATTTTTTTAAAAATGCGAGTATTTAGTGCACTACTTTTGATAGCGTTCACCATTTTTACGGACTGTTTTAAAGTATATATGAGTTCTTCAGGTAATGTTTTTGAAGCTAATGCTTGTCGATGAATTACACAATGCGTTGTCAATGCTGAACAGTTTTTTTCTTTAACCAACGTTGCTAGGCCCGAACGTGATCCTAGCATAGCTGGAGCTCCATCCGTACAAAAACCTGCAAGCTTTTATAAATAAACGACGTAATATACACGCGCCACGCCGTGGAATCGATGATAACGATTGTCGGTACATAATATTTTGACTGCCTCGCTTTTACGAATTAGACGTTATATAGTATATAATATAAAAAGCAAAAACAGCAAAAACAGTTACAAACTTTGTATCATGCCCCAAAGGAAAAATGAAATATTTTTAAATTTTGTAGGTATGGCTCGCGGACCACTTCACGATGTCTCGCGGACCACCGGTGGTCCGCGGACCATAGGTTGGGAACCACTGGTATAAATGCATCCGGGGCCCTTTAGGTACCAGACTGGCACTGAGCTAGTCTGTAGCACTGTAAAGTCCTATTAATACTTTTCCTAAATTTGATTCAATTAATATTCAATTGACGTAAGTTATTTATAATAATATGGCGTATTTTGCTATCGCATGCGCAGCGTTTCTACTACAACAAAAGTACAATAAATTATTAGTCAACAAACTCTAGACTCTAGTACACTACTCAGTACTTGCCTCTGTTGATTCTTTATTATAGGTATATTTGTATAATAGTATTTTAATTATGACGGCAAAATAAAGTGAAGTGGAAATCAAAACCGTAAACAAACTTTATTAAAAGACAAAAAAAAACTTAATATTATTCGGAGGGTTAATGAAATTATTAAACCATATTTTTTAAATAGAACCACACTTTATAAAACAAATATTCTGTTTATTGGCTCAAAATCTAAAAGGTTCATGAGGATCTATCTCCTATATTTCCCGTGGTTAGGCCCGCATAGGGGCGCCAATTTTTTTTTTGCATTTGGGCACAAAATGTTAAAATTACCAAAAGCGCAGTGCAAACTTAACATGAATATATTTTTCATACATTTTTCTATGATCCTGACGTTTATTACAATAAATACATTTTTTCGAGAAAAAATGAAAAGTTAGGTATGCATCATGCTAATTCATGCATGAGTAGTGGTTTGTAAACTTCAGCTTTCATCTATTATTTCCTCTGATTTCCATTTTCCGTGATTTTTACTTTGTTACAAAACACGGAAACATCATATTTATTTGTTTAAACATAAACTCGTGCTTAACAGTTTACAATATGATAATAATAATATAATATAATGTATAGGAGCATTATATATTTATTATTACGTAATTTATTTTATAGAAAGTGATTAGTAATTTCGTTTTTTTTTTCAATTTTAATGATCATAATATATATAGTTATCTATTATTTACATAGGTACCTATGAAATACGGAATTCCATAAAATCTAGTAAAGGAATAAGAAATTATTTTTATTTTGAATTCATAATTGAGCGGATCTAATGTATAATAATATATAATATGTGTCTATGCTGGGTTATGGAATATTTCAATATTTTATATTTACTATAAAAGTAGTGGTGTATAGTTTGGTATTAGTTACTATTATTTTTTCTTTACTATCATATGCACTACATATTCATTACACTACACTTACATATTCACCACATATTCATAACATAATATGACACAGAAGATAGAAGTTCAACAAACAGATTATGTTTATACTATTGCTGCATATTGTGCTGCACATGTACAGACAATACTCGTTATATCAATAACAATTCTTCTACCCACGTATGTAAGTGAAACTGTATACTTATTATACTAATTAATAGTAACTAGTACCTAAGTTTACATTTAAATAGATACCTACTAGATTCTTGCCAAATTGACCTGCATAACTATCAACTATATAATATTGTAATTTTTCAATGTAGTATAAGTATAGGTAGGTACACTTCATGTCTAGTCTTCACATATCAAATATCAGCATGGTAGCATAGAAAATATATAGACTATATTCTAATCGGTACCTACCATAAATTAGCCCCGTCTAATCTGTCTTTATATTCTGAGTGGAGCTATATTTGATGTTCATAGATATTTTAATTTTCTACTTTTATTTTGATTCATGTGCGATACCAATTTTAACATATAACAACGATTTTTAATTTAATAATTTTAGTTAGGCACTTTGTTATAAATTGTAATTGATAAAATATTATTCGTAGGCATAGGCGCCAGCAGAAATTATTAGATATATGATGTGTGGGGGCTATTTTGTAAATACTTAGAATATATACATATAATATCAATTGTTAGCTTGGCAGTACAGGATTTTTTTTAATGGTAGGTAACTGTTTTTTCGTATAACCACTTTCAATTTGTTATGTAGTAATTAATCATAATGCATAATGCACACAAGTAAAATAAAATATCCGAAAAGCAGGGGGCATCTGCACCAGATTAACCCCCTCTCCAGGTGCCTATATTTGAAGGGACTTGAATATGTCGTTACTGCGTTTATTAGTAACTATACATGCGCAATAACGTTTTAAGTGCTTCAGTCCCCTGATATTTTTCGCTTTAGCATACCTACTCCTATAAATGTATAACCTGTAAATTAAGTCAGAAGACATTTATTAACTAATACATTATTAGTATCTAATACCTATAGCCTATAGGTTATATATTATAATTAATAAGTAAGTAGGTACCAGAAACATTGAATTTGTATTTTTTGAGGGAGCTTGTACTTAGTCGGCCACCCCCTAAGCGGCTAAGCCTTCTTCTATTTGTGTAACTGCGTAAGTACCTATCTACAGACCTATACGCATATACCTACAAAGTACAAGGTGTAACAGAGAGCCCTGACAAATTAAATAGCTTTTATTAAATATTAAACATTTTTTTTTGTATATAGAAGCTTTGTATGCACTTTACCAACCTAAAAGTATTAAACGATATAAGCATTACAATTGCTTGTCAAAATTGTGTTCAATGATTTATTTAAATATTAAATCATTGAATAATGCTGTGCGTTTATTAAAAGGGAATCGCAGCAGATGTATTTTTCATACCTTTAAGACCAATTATAAATTAATGGTAAATTACACATAGATATGGTATAGTTAGGTACTTAGAAATGTCCGATTTTAATTTTTTTTTTTTTTTTATTAATGAGTTTTTAACTCATTTGTTATACAATATACATATATGAACTTTTTCACAAAATATCTAGGCTTTTTAGTAATTCGATTTTAAATTTTAAATTTTATAGGACCTTAAAATATGATATTTTTTTTCAATAATCCCATGAAATAATTGCATTACATTTGTATTTACTATAGGCACATCAGATTTTAAATCAAAAAAGTGATTCCTAAAGAGTATTTATACCTACTATATATATCTAGTCTAAAAGCTTATAAACTCAACCATTTTTTCGAAATTACAATCGAACTTCAGGAAGTATGTTTAAATTACTACCGCTTTCAGTAGTTTTTAGAGTTATGCAAACAAGAATATATTTTTCTAGTCGTATACAGTCATTGGTCGCGATCAGTCAGTGGTGTATATATGGGGGGAGGCCTCCTAGGCCAGAGCCCATAGTGAAATTGCAGGTTCAATTAAAGGCTAAAGCATTTCAATCATTTCATGTATATCTACACTGTTGTCATGGTATAGATTTCAGTGTCTGTTTGTGCAGGGTATAGGAGCGTGAAATATGTGGGGATTTCCACTTTACCTCCCGACACTATTAGGGATTCCCACTTTACCGCCCGCTGGACGGAAAAATGACGTTTTCCAAAGCGTTCAACCGCTATCGAAAACCAAACTTTCGGTGCAGGCTTGACAAAATAGTATATTGTGTGGCATGGGCGGGAAGTGACTGAAATTTCCTTCCCGCGCGAGCCACACATACTATTTTTTGTCACGCCTATAAAGATATGTGCGCCCGGCACTTTTGGGGATTTTCACTTTACCGCCCGGCACTATCAGGGATTCCCACTTTACCGCCTGCTGGACGGAAAAAGGATGCTTTCGAACGCTTCAACCGCTATCGAAAACCAAACTTTCGGTGCAGGTGTGACAAAAATTATATTAAAGGTATTCCAAAAATTGTAAACACTATAAAAAACTGATAAGCATACTAACCACTAGTTTAAACTAGTTCCGTATTTAAATAATAAACTGTTATGTTTAAAATCTCAAGCTCTATGCTTAATATATGATATATTTATATTTATATTTACAAAAACTTGGTCAAGAGAAAACGTTATGTCAACTGAATTACGTTTTTAGGTAAGTATTGTCTATACATTTTATTAAAACTTTTTCTTTTTTCTGTTTCGGTAAATTCGACCACTAGGACCATCCCGACATACATCCTCTTGCCGCCAATTTTCTCTATCCGCTGCCTGTATCCTCCAGTCTATCCCTCCTCCTAACGCTTTCACATAATTTCTTACTACGTCTTCCCACCTCAGACGTGGTATTCCTAGTGGTCTTTTCCCAGTAGGGTTTTCTTCTAATACTATGTGTATGAGTGGGTTTTGACTACGCCAAGCATGCCCAGCACATATCAATCTTTTGTGCTTTATTGTTTCGAGTATACAGGGTTTATGGAAGAGCGTATCTAATTCATCATTTTTTCTTATTCTCCAGTCACCGTTTAGCATGTCTTTTACTGGTCCAAAAATCTTTCGTTGTGTCTTTCTTTCCAGAATTAAGAGTTTTCTTTCATCACTTTTCCTTAATAGCCATGTCTCAGGTCCATAAGTAAATACAAGTCGTATTAATGTGATGTATAATTGTATTTTTAAATCTTTTGAAAGTGATCTTGATCTCAGTAATTTTGCAAGACCATAGAGCCTTTTATTTACTGGTTGAATTCTTGAAACTATTTCGATTTCGATTTAATTTCTCTCTGAGAGTATAGACCCTAGGTACTTAAATTGTTTGGTATATTTCTACTTTACCGGGCACCCTTTTTTTTGCAATTTTTTTTTTGGAAACTTATGTAGTTAAGTACGCTGAAAACGATGGTGAAAACCGAATTTGGGGCACGGACTTAGTTTTGAAGTTATGGCCTAATGAAGTTCACTATTTCGCGATTTTTTTTTTCACTTATTTTGATTGTGATTGTGCCGTGGCTGGCAGTTGTCCGAAAAATGATAAGGTGGTTGTACGTTGGTTAACCTGTGGTGTTGCACAGCAAGTCGGGGGATATTTTCGATTTGCGGAGCGGAGCGACGGCGCCGAGGAGCGTAGCGACGAGTGCCGCTAGCACGGCATCACTGTGACACTGTACGATGTCTTTCAACATAATTTAGTTTAGTTTTAATTTTAGTAATTATAATGTAGTGTTTAAGTTAGTTTTAATATTTACCTATAGTTGCAAGTTTTTTAGATTCTGAGTGAAACGATGAATGTATTGATTTTACAATGATGTGTGTTTTTTTTTTTATTTTTTTTTAGATTCTGAGTGAAACGATGAATGTATTGATTTTACAATGATGTGTGTTTTTTTATTTTTTTATTTTTTATTTTTTTATTTTTTTATTTTTTTATTTTTTTTGTATCTGTGTACACGATAAGTAGTCGAAATAATGCTTCGATTTTCGACTTCAGTATCTTGTTCGATTGGAAAGTGAATATCGTTGGTGCATTGGGGAGGTCAAAATTTAAATTTCCCAGTAGTTTTCAAGAGCGCCGGGAAAAACAAAAGAAAAATTAAGGAAAAACGGGAATTTTTACGCAAAATCGATTTTTCAGAAAATTGAATTTGGTTTTTGGTGTAACTTTAAAACAAATGACCGTAGGTACATGCAATTTTCACTGGTTGTTTATATTTGCATCTTCTATACACGATAACATTTTCAAAATATTTTGATTTATTTTGAACAGTTTAGGGACATTTTCATTTTTAGTTTTTTTTTAGTTTTTTTTCTAGAAATATCAATAAAATTTTATTTGTTGGTTGCGAAAGCTTGAAAATTTAATAGAAGGCTCCTAATATATTGTTTCAAGGGCAGATGAAAAATATTAAAAATCCTTAGTCACAATTTTTTTTTATAAGCATTTAAAGTTCAAAAATTGACAAAATATGGAAAAATCACGAAAATTAGCAAATTATTTTGAGTTAAGAATTCGTAAAAATTTTTCTTTTTAAATCTAAGATTTGAAAATCTAATACAAGATTACTCATAAGATTGTCTACCTTTATCAATAAAAAAATCTCTACCGGAAAGTCAAATTAAATTTTTATGAGCGTTTGAAATTCAAATTTTTACAACATTGGATATTCACTCGATTTCTCATGTGGCAATTTCCTTTTTTTGTTGTAATTAAAAAACGAATTACTGTAGATACATGAAAATTTCACTGAATGTTTATATTAGCATTTCCTATACACCATACAATTTTGAAAATATTTTGACTCTTTTTGAGCCGTTTACGGACATTTTCAGTTTTCAATTTTTTTAGTTTTTTTTTTCTATAAATATTAATTAAGTTTTATCTGTTGGGCCAAAAAGTGTAAAAATTTAATACAAGGCTCCTGATATATTGTTACAATATCAGTTGAAAAATATTAAAAATACATAGGCACAATTTTTTTTTATAAGCATTTTAACATCGAATTTTGACAGAATTTTTCAAAATCTCGAAAATTATTAATCATCGTAATTAATAAATTATAAAATGTTCAGTTTTTATAGCTAAGGATTGAAAATTTAAAACAAGATTTCACGTAAGTAGTTAATTCTCTTACCGAAAAATCTAAAAAATATACAATCACAGTTTATTTTTATAGTCATTTTATGTTCAAATTTTGACGAAATTACATATTAAAAAACCTAGTTATTTTGTTGTGATTATATAATATTATTCGTGGGTACCTACTTGAAACTTCTAAAGTGTACTATTATATATATATGATAGTATCAGGGTTTGTTGTTGGTGTATAACGTGTTATTAGTACCTAATGGATATTGTGATAATGTGATATGATTAATTTGGAATTTATTATAGGTCAATTTTTTTTTAATACCATAGATATGTATATAATTTGTCTTAACCTAGACTGACATACCGTCTTCGCTCAGAATCGTTTTTCTTATACAATGATATTGTATCATTGAATTCAAATTTAATAGCATAAATTATACAGTGACCCACTTGTAACCTACTGTACAGCAGAGCGACATCCACTTACCCACCTTTTTTTATTTTTTTTTTTATTTTATTTTTATTTTTATATTTATTTTTTTTGTGTCTGTGTACACGATAAGTAGTCGAAATAATGCTTCGATTTTCGACTTCAGTATCTTGTTCGATTGGAAAGTGAATATCGTTGGTGCATTGGGGAGGTCAAAATTTAAATTTCCCAGTAGTTTTCAAGAGCGCCGGGAAAAACAAAAGAAAAATTAAGGAAAAACGGGAATTTTTACGCAAAATCGATTTTTCAGAAAATTGAATTTGGTTTTTGGTGTAACTTTAAAACAAATGACCGTAGGCACATGCAATTTTCACTGGTTGTTTATATTTGCATCTTCTATACACGATAACATTTTCAAAATATTTTGATTTATTTTGAACAGTTTAGGGACATTTTCATTTTTAGTTTGTTTTTAGTTTTTTTTCTAGAAATATCAATAAAATTTTATTTGTTGGTTGCGAAAGCTTGAAAATTTAATAGAAGGTTCCTAATATATTGTTTCAAAGGCAGATGAAAAATATTAAAAATCCTTAGTCACAATTTTTTTTTATAAGCATTTAAAGTTCAAAAATTGACAAAATATGGAAAAATCGCGAAAATTAGCAAATTATTTTGAGTTAAGAATTCGTAAAAATTTTTCTTTTCAAATCTAAGATTTGAAAATCTAATACAAGATTACTCATAAGATTGTCTACCTTTATCAATAAAAAAATCTCTACAGGAAAGTCAAATTAAATTTTTATGAGAGTTTGAAATTCAAATTTTTACAACATTGGATATTCACTCGATTTCTCATGTGGCAATTTCCTTTTTTTGTTGTAATTAAAAAACGAATTACTGTAGATACATGAAAATTTCACTGAATGTTTATATTAGCATTTCCTATACACCATACAATTTTGAAAATATTTTGACTCTTTTTGAGCCGTTTACGGACATTTTTGGTTTCAATTTTTTTAGTTTTTTTTTTCTATAAATATCAATTAAGTTTTATCTGTTGGGCCAAAAAGTGTAAAAATTTAATACAAGGCTCCTGATATATTGTTACAATATCAGTTGAAAAATATTAAAAATACATAGGCACAATTTTTTTTTATAAGCATTTTAACATCGAATTTTGACAGAATTTTTCAAAATCTCGAAAATTATTAATCATCGTAATTAATAAATTATAAAATGTTCAGTTTTTATAGTTAAGGATTGAAAATTTAAAACAAGATTCCACGTAAGTAGTTAATTCTCTTACCGAAAAATCTAAAAAATATACAATCACAGTTTATTTTTATAGTCATTTTATGTTCAAATTTGGTCGAAATTACATATTAAAAAACCTAGTTATTTTGTTGTGATTATATAATATTATTCGTGGGTACCTACTTGAAACTTCTAAAGTGTACTATTATATATCTATGATAGTATAAGGGTTTGTTATTGATGTTGATGTATAACGTGTTATAAGTACCTAATGGATATTGTGATAATGTGATATGATTAATTTGGAATTTATTATAGGTCAATTTTTTTTTTAATACCATAGATATGTATATAATTTGTCTTAAACCTAGACTGACATACCGTCTTCGCTCAGAATCGTTTTTCTTATACAATGATATATTGTATCATTGAATTCAAATTTAATAGCATCCATTATACAGTGACCCACTTGTAACCTACAGTACAGCAGAGCGACATCCACTTACCCACTTTTTTTTTTTTTTAGTTTGTTTTTCCCTGCACTTCCATTTGAATTTATCCAAAGACGCTTCTTCGCGTGTTAATGTCATTTTATGCCCTCTTATGCATTTCGGTGCATTATGTAATACACCAAAATTCTGGAGCATTTCTATTAATGCCAATCCTTCGTTTTGAAGAGACAGTTCTTTTAAGAGGACGCTACACCCGCATGTGTTGTCTCCGTCTTACACACGTACGACATAGACAAAACGCGTTTAGGCAGTCTGAGTATAACTCGCTCAATTTTGGTTCTAGAGTAAAAATACCTATTATGAAATTGAATTGTGATAATATTTCTAAGGGCAAGACGCTGCGGTTTTTTTAAAAAATTTAATTTTTTAAAAGTCAAAGGTATTTTAAAAATGGTGTAATTTTTTCTATTTCTAAACGATATAATGAACGTTATATTGGGTATAATGGAAAAACCGCAGCGTCTTGCCCTTAGAAATATTATCACAATTCAATTTCATAATAGGCATTTTTACTCTAGAACCAAAATTGAGCAAGTTATACTCAGACTGCCTAAACGCGTTTTGTCTATGTCGTACGTGTGTAAGACGGAGACAACACATGCGGGTGTAGCGTCCTCTTAAGTCATATAAATTTAAACTCTTGACACTCATTGTAATATATTTTTAAAGAAAATGTAATTTAAGATATTAGAAAAAAACACTAGTTTCTTATATAACAAGTGCAATACTGAAACGTTTTAGATATCTTTGTAATCTCATATTTAAATTGTTTTTGCTCAAAATGGGAATTACCCGTTTCCGCCAAAATTTGAAATGACCGATTCCGCCATTGCCCGTTTCCGCCAAATTGAAAAAGGTTCAATTCCCGTTTCCGCCAACTACCTGCTATGGTAAAATTATTGTATAATAATATATTCCATAATACTTGGAGTATTATGCATATTATTTTTAAGGAATATTTAAGTTTTAACTTGAGATAATTGTACATGGTTTATATTATAAAATATTATATAAGAACATATTATATTGATAAATATATTATACTCAAATAAAAAATACATAGGTAATATTTTGTCATATTCTTAATAAATACATAATATTTTGTCATACCTAGTTACTAAGTTTAATGAATATGATAATAAAGTAAAAGACACTTATTTATAAATACATAATATTTTATCATACCTAGTTTTATTATAAATACAAAAATTAAAATAATTAAAAAGTCATAATATTTTGTCATATTCTTAATAAATACATAATATTTTGTCATACCTAGTTTTATTATAAATATAAAAATTAAAATAATTAAAAATTCATAATATTTTGTTAATTTATTTAACATAATTGAATGCAACACACTTTACGTTATTTAAGTTATATATATCTATATAATATATTATATTGTATGTATGTGTGCAGTGCAGAATCCAGGGGGGGGGAGTCAGGGATTATCCCTGGGCGTATAATTTTGTGGGTGTATTTTTAAGATTTTACATTTTTAAATTTTAAACTGAAAATGGAATTTAAAAGAAAAGTCGTAACTAATCACATTGATTTAAAATGGACGAATAGGTAGGCATCGCAGTGGAAATACCCGTCCGCGAGTAGTGTACGCTACCATAGATTAATGTGTACAACTATACAAGGGGAAGCTTATCAGTTATCTCTCGTTTGGATCTATAATATGTTCTTATATAATATAATATAAACCATGTACAATTATCTCAAGCTAAAACTTAAATATTCCTTAAAAATAATATGCATGATATGGAATATATTATATTCCATAATATATTATATTATATATATATTATAATATATTATATTCCATAATATATTATATTATATATATCATATTATGGAATATATTATAATAATTTTACCATAGCAGGTAGTTGGCGGAAACGGGAATTGAACCTTTTTCAATTTGGCGGAAACGGGCAATGGCGGAATCGGTCATTTCAAATTTTGGCGGAAACGGTACATGCCCCTCAAAATACATTTATTATTTCTTATATTATCTTAATGAATGTCGTTAAGATAAAAATAATTTGTATATATAGTGGTGTTTTCGAAATAGTCGTAGTAAACTAGTGTGATGCGCGAATGCGTAAAAATCGCGAAATAGTGAACTTCATTAGGCCATAACTTCAAAACTAAGTTCGTGCCCCAAATTCGGTTTTCACCATCGTTTTCAGCGTACTTAACTACATGAGTTTCCAAAAAAAAATTGCAAAAAAAAGGGTGCCCGGTAAAGTAGAAATGTTCCAATTGTTTTGTTCTTTTAAAATTTTGGTTGTTGGTGTTAAGCGTTAAATATAATTCCATGGTATCTCGTCTTCCAACCACCATATATTCCGTTTTGTCTTCATTAATGTGAAGTCCAACTTTCTGTGCTGCTGTCTCCAGGCGATTTAAAAGATACTTTAGTCCGTCTTGTGTTTCCTCCATGATCACCAGATCACCTGCATAAGCCAGCAGTCCTATGGAAGATTCCTGGAATTTAACTCCTTCTTGAGGTGTCAATCATTGATCTCCCTTATTACTTTTTCTACCACTATATTATATAATACATATAAAATAATAATTTTGATTTAAAACAGGCACAGTCACCATTTTTACACACTAATGTATTTCCATTAACAAATGAAGATTACATGAGAAGATGTGCACCAGTTGTAATTTGTAATCCAAACTATAAGTATAGAACTTTCAACGGATCATGCAATAATTTAAAAGTACCTACATTGGGCGCATCTAATACTCCATTTATCAGACTCCTCAATGCTGAGTATAGTGATGGTATTATACTTGTATTTATAAATAGAATTTTTGTTTTCTTATTTTTATTTTTTTTAATGTGATGTTTTAAAACACTAATAAATCCAATAATATCATTACTTGCAAAAGTAATCACCAGTCTATTAGATAGAAGAAATGAATAACACACTCACAAAAAATTCTCTATTAATTTTGCATTTTAATGCAAATGGCCTCAAAAACCATATAAACAAGCTTCAATGTGTTTTATACCTACTCTAATTTCCATATCCATGGATTTCATCTAATAAAAACAATCCACCCGGATAATTTGGCGGAGTAGCCTTACTAATTAAAACTTCCTTATTTTTTCAACCACTTCCTGAATATTGTCATGATAATATTCAATCTTGCTCCATACTAATTAAATTGAACAACATTTCAATCACTATCGGAACTCTCTACGCCCCCCCTCCCCCTCAGCACAATATTTCCAGAGCTATACTTCACGATTTTTTTTTGGTTCAATTAAAAAAGGTGCTCTACTGTACAGTAGGTTACAAGTGGGTCACTGTACAATGGATGGTATTAAATTTGAATTCAATGATATAATATCATTGTATAAGAAAAACGATTCTGAACGGAGGCGGTAGTCAGTCTAGGTATAAGACATATTATAATATACTTATCTATGGTATTAAAAAAATTGACCTATAATAGGTACCTATAATAAATTCCAAATTAATCATATTACAATATCCATTAGGTACTTATAACGCGTTATATATCAACAACAAACCCTGATACTATCATAGATATATAATAGTGTACTTTAGAAGTTTCAAGTACCAACGAATAATATTATACAATCACAACAAAATAACTAAAATAGTTATTCTAGGTTTTTTTTATGTAATTTCTTTCAAATTTGAACTTAAAATGACTATAAAAATAAACTGTGCTTATGTATTTTTTAGATTTTTTGTGGACAGAATTAACTACTTACAGACAAAAAAAAAAAAAAAAAAAAAAAAAAAACAACACACATCATTGTCAAATCAATACATTCATCTTTTCACTCAGAATCTATAAACGTCGTCTTCGGTGGGGATTTTAATACCAAACATCAAAGTTAGGACGGCCGTGATAATAGCCCTGTCTTATTATACTATTATATCACACAGCTTTTCTAACGATAACAGTTTCAATATTATCTCGCTTCCACCACCTACTTATTGGCCACCTCACTCAAAAAGAAGCCAGACATTCAATATATTTTTTCCGTTAAGTTACCAATCAACTTATATTTCTCTACCAAAAACATCCTTGACTTAAAGTCTGAAACTCTGATCATTCCGAGGTTCTCCTAACTATCTCAAATTCTCAATCATTCAAATTAGTCTCACCCCACACGGATCACATACGATTTCATGATATAGTGAATAAAAATATTAAGGGGATTGGAAGCGGCGATTTTCTGTCTTTGTCTAACACACGTGAAACATAGGATTATAGACGTGTTCTATTTCCAACGTACCGATTAATCTAGTGAAGCGATAAGAATTCTGTAAACAGATTTGAATTTGTCGTCAAGTCTACTTGAGATCGACTTACCCACATTTTTGATATTATCCCCCAAAAATCATAAAAATGATATATTAAAAAGAGTAATTAAAAAATTGCCATATTTCAATTTATGGAGAAGTTTTAATCAAAATATCAAAAATGTGGGAAAGTCGATCTAAAGTAGACTTGACGACAAATTCAAATCTGTTTTCAGAATTCTTATAGTTTCACTAGATTAATCGGTACGTTGGAAATAGAACACGTCTATAATCCTATGTTGCAAGTGTGTTAGACAAAGACAGAAAAACGCCGCTTCCAATCCCCTTAACCTTAATATTAAAATAAAATCTTATCTCAATTTGACGAAGCTGTCAACAGTTTTATAACTTTAATTCAATCGGCAGCGTGGACCGCCCGTGAAAATGTCAAGCCTGTTAAAACCAACAACTCTAATACAGTAACTAACTTTAATTTTAATTACTCTCTAGTCCCAGAAGAAATTCGTTGCCTAATTGTTGAAAAACGTAGTGTGAGAGCTAGATACCACCTCTCCCGTCTTCCTTCTCACAAATCAGCTTAATATAACAAAATAATAAATTCCTTAAAAAGTCAATGCTTTTGAACAAAAACTGCACAACCTATCTGTTGCTGATGGTTCTCTTTGAAGATAAACTAAACAGCTACTAAAATATGAATGTCCTCCATCTCTTCTTAGAAAAGCAGACAATGCATTAGCTATTAGTGACTTAGAAAAAGCAAAAATATTTTAAACACACTTATCAAATATTTTTCAACCTCATGCTAGTATTTTGAACTTCCATCACATATATAATGTTAAAAAATATTTAGACTCCTAATGGACCTCCTGTAAAATACACCACGCCAAACGAGTTCAAAAATATAATTCTTAAACATATAAATACAAAATCACCCAGTTTTATAATAACAGCTGAGGTTGCAAAATGTCTACCTAAAAAAGCAATAGGTAATACTTTTAACATATATATTATCAATACTATTTTTCGGCTGTCATATTTCCCTCTAATGTGGACATTTTCACACATTGTTATGTTTGCAAAGCCAAAAAACCCTCCAGACTTTCAATACTCTTTTAGACTCATAAGCCTTTTTCTCAAAAATTTTCGAAAGACTTATTTATCAACTATTACCCGCTCATGTTATTTCAAACATTCTCCGTTCATCTCAATTTGGATTTCGTGCTAAACACAGGGACGAACCAAGCACTAATTATGTTGTGGATTTATATAAAATAAATTAAATTAATAACATTCAGATTTCAGAGACAGGGAGCTTGTGTTGTGTGAGGTGGCCATCCAATGACGGGACACATGAAAAATTATAAATTATTTAATTTATCAATTTTTAATTTTATAGCAATTTATACCAATACAAGCTATTATAATTACAATATTGATATAGTTTACAATTAAACACAACACAATTCATCAAGTTCACCTTTTGGTTGATGCTATATCAACCTCTCTCGAATATAAACAATTCAGGCGTTAGGTAAGATAAGGTTAGGCAGGCAAGGTGGTATTCTATCTCCTTTATTATTCAACATAATATATGCCTCATATCAACCTGTTTTCGAAAACACCTTTGTTGCTGATTACGCTGACGACAAAGATATAATTTCAATCCATGTAAATCCTCTAATAGCCTCTGGTTAGCTGCAAACCCATCTAAACTTTATCTCATCATGGTACACAAAATGGAGAATTAAATTGAACCACATCAAGTTAATTCATACCACCTATACTTAAAATTTTAAAACACGAAGTCACAAACTCTTTCCACCAGTTTCAGTGGATAACATAATATTATGTTATACCTATACTTACCTTCTTACGATACAGTGAAATATTTAAGCCTCACCTTAGACAAACGATTAAGCAGATCCTAAAGATTAATTTTAAACTCTCGTGCTTGTATGCTCAAAACTATGTTATTAAAAACAAATGCACAAGTTTAAAAAATAAACTTTTAATCTACAAAACATTCTTAAAACCAATAAGGGGTTTGGAAGCGGTAATTTTCTGTCTTTGTCTAACACACTTGGAATATAGGAATTTAGAAGTGTTTACATTCCGACGTACTGATTGATCTAGTGAAGCTATACGAATTCTAAAAACAGATTTTAATTTATTGTCACGTCTACTTGAGATCAACTTTCCCACATTTTTGATTTTATGCCCCTAAATCTTAAAGATAAACATACTAAAAAAGGAAACAGTATATTTAAATGTTTAGAGAAGTTAAAATTAAAAAATTAAAAATCTGCAAAATTCCATCTCAAGTAGACTTACGACAAAATAAAATCTGTTTTTACAATTCTTATCGCTTCACTAGATCAGTTGGTACGTTGGAACGAAAACACGTATAAAGTCATATGTTCCACGTGTGTTAGACAAAGACAGAAAATCACCGCTTCCAATCCCCCTAATAAATAATAATAGTATTGGGTACATATACAACATTTTTTCAAAATCATTAGTTATAACTTATAAGAATTATAAAATACACTTTTCCCTATATTTGTCTAACTCGTTTAACTGAAATGATTTTTAGGTATTTATAAATTTCGACAACAATCAAATGGATCACAGTTACCAGGAGCTAGAGAAATTAATACACAATTATTTTTGAATAATCAGTGGTTAGACGATGATGAACTGAATGTACTCTTAATGCAATGGGGACAATTTATAGCTCATGATATAACTCTCTTAAAACCAGACATTTCTGTTGGTAACGACATTACTGATAAATATTTATGAATTTAATATAAATCATACATTGTATACTGTAAATATGTTACATATTATATAATGTTTGCCTAACAGTCTAATTGATATTTATTCAAATCCGTCAAACGACTGTTTATTTTTTAATTGTGTGTTATAATTAATAATAATACCTAATTATTATTTTTATTTTATAGAAAATTGTTGTGCAGTTCAAAATGTATCCAAAATACCAACTCAATGTCAAAACGTAATTGATATACCTATAAATGATCCCATTTATTTAAATAATAACAAGACATGCATGTCATTTAACCGTGCAGTAACATCGGCTAATTTCAGTTGTCCATTGATGCCAGCTACATTTGTTAGTACCAAATAAATGCTTCTATGTCTAAAATATTTATTAATACTTTATTTATTTTTTGAATTTTTAGATGGTCGAAGTCTCTCAATATATTGATGGATCTCAAATTTATGGATCTAGTGATACAGTAGCGATGGGGCTGAGATCATTGATAAACGGAAAACTCCGATCAGATATTGTTAAGGGTAACCAAAATGCTGGAGTAGAAGAATTTTGTCCACAAGTGAATCGAACAACTTTGCAATGTGATTCATCAACAAATTCTAGAGTTTGCTTTCAAGCTGGTTAGTTGATAACATCATTGAGTATATATTGTATATACTCAATGATAATATATATAAAACTATTAAGGGGATTTATAATACCGTGATTTTCTGTTCACGCCACATAGTATTTTAGACGTGTTTTTGCCAAACATTCAAATTGATCTAATGTAGTGATAAGAATTCTAAGAGCAGATTTGAAGTCTATTTGAAATCGATTTTCCCACATTTTTGATTTTTTAATTTTAACTTCTCCAAAAATTTAAATACGACAATTTTCAAATACTCTTTTTTAATATGACATTTTTAGGACTTTGGGGGATAATATCAAACATGTGGAAAAGTCGATTTCAAGTAGACTTGACTACAATTTGAAATCTGTTTTAAGAATTCTTATCACTTCAATATATCAATTGGAATGTTTGACAAAAAGCACGTCTAAAATACTATGTCACGCGCTTGTTAGACAAAAACAGAAAATCATGGTATCGAATACCCCTTAACTCTTTTATCAAATATATTTATTATTAAATAAACATAATATAATTCTAATTCATAATATGACTCTAAACTAGTATAAAAAAAAATTTAAGTATAATAGAATTTAATATTGAGTTAAACTTGAAACTATTTATTCTCTGATGCGAAATTTCTTAGTGGCAACACACAAATAATTAGAACATAATACTTATATAATTTATATTAAATGAAACTAGCTAGGTATCTGTAATGTTAAAGCTAAAAATAATCTGAAATTCAAAGTATATTTATCGTCTAAATTCAAAATACAGATACAGATTCGTGATAAAATGAGAAAGCTATATTGGATAATTGGTCGCCACTTCAACTTCTGAGTTAACTAGCAAAAAATCTGCAGTTGTGACCAGTCTACATTTAATTTGGTCGGATAAAAATAAATGGACCCAGAGCTTTAAGCAATCGTGAGAGGAGATAAAGCTTAGCCCTACTAAATTAAATTAACCCCTACCCTTAAAAACCCCTCAATTGAACGGCGAAAATCGGTGCCGCTTGAAACGGTAAATTGGTGGGAACGCTAGAAATAAGATGATGTTTGGTCGCCACCCGGTCCCTTTTTCTCGTGGGCAGAGTATTATAAATTATAATACTGCACAATAGCAAAAAAATCCAAAGATTTTCTCACAAATTCGAGATATGGCTAAATCACCATGTCAATCCATTTACCATCCAATTATGAGATAACTCTAAAAGAAGGCTAATGGACTCAAACGTCTAAATAATATGAATAAAAAAATGATTTACATTGATTTATTTGTATTGTTTTAAACAGGGGATATTCGCATAAATCAAAATTTGGGAAACGCACTTCTTCATAATTTATTCTTGAGATTTCATAACCATTTAGCATCTAAGCTGTTTTACATGAACCAATTTTGGACCGATGAAATGCTTTATCAAGAAACTAGAAGGATTATTGGAGCAGTGATTCAACACATTACTTACGATCATTATTTACCAATTATATTAGGTATAATAATGTATTTTTTTTCTCAAATAAAACTGTTTTGTTATATTATCATTTAATATTTTTAGGAGAAACGTACACAGAGTATTATGGTTTATTTACTCCTCAAACAATATACAGTGATAGTATAAATCCATCTACATCGTTAGAATTTGCAGCTAGTTCATTTCGAATACTTCATAATCAAATTCCAGCGAAATTAAAGTACGGTATTTACTATAAATCATATATATATGCATTTATAAGTATTTAAATAAAAAGTTCTCTATACAGTATAATTACTAGTAAGAAATGTAGATAAGCATAAATACTAAAAATAGTATTATAAAATACTAAAATATATATAGGTAGGTACTACGATATTCATTCTATATATTATGTATACAATATTAGGCATAAATTCATATTGTATAGACTATTAACTATTTTTAGAAAATATAAGACAATTTCAATTACTAATATATTTACATTAGTTAGTACCCCGATTATAAAAAATTGTATAATCGTGATTAGTACCTACATATTATATAGTATACGTATTATAGTAGATAACTTTGTATTAAGTTTTTCATAATTTCAAAAGTTAAAAGGTAATGTAATTAACTAAGGTCAGTATCTCTCTTATTAACATGATAGTTAATACCATTTTAAGTTATTACAATATGTTAATTTAGAGACATTTTAAACTTCTAGTATAGATTACCTATAGAACGTAACAGTAGTGTATATACGATTTAGTGTAGCAAGAGTGTAGCTATAATGAATCATTTTTCAAAACATTAAATACTAATTATAATTCATAATATTACAGTTATTTTAAACACACAAGTAAAATCATCAGTATGTACCTAGTACCTACCATCAGTAAGATATTGATAATACTTTCGAAACAAAATTATTCTAAATTTCCAAAACTATTTGACGTACCTAACTAATATCTTATTTCACAATTTTTAATATTATAACATAATACTTTATCGTGATATTCTTCCCCCACACACTGCAGCGGTAGCCGTGGCTGTAGTGGTTACGGCAAAATTACAAAAGAATTTGTAATGCGAGTATTAATGTGCAGTGGCGACCTTAATACGTATATTAATTTGTTGTATTTATTTTTACACATTTTACAAATCATTTCAAACAACCATAGTAAAAAAAAATAATAAAAAAAAATGAATAGGTATTTTAATAATAATTAGTTAATTTCTTCAACAAAGTAGTTAAGGCAACATGTTTTCTAAATAAAATATTTTTAATTCCATTTTCATTTTGTTTTCACAAAAACTGTCGTCACGTTTCAGTGTCCGGCCTGCTGCAGCCCCCTTAAGATTTACACACTGTTCTTCAACAGTGTAAAATATTCAGCAATATATTATTAGATGATTTCAAATAAATAATTTGTGGACTTGTGGTGTAAAGTTTTTTATACTTATATAAATTGTATTCATATATTTTACATATTTTCTTAGCTTCATAGATGAAATATACAAAGTTGCATTTCAAGTTAATTTAACAGATTGGATGGATAGACCTGATTTGTTAGCTATGGGAAAAAATGTTGATTGGTTAATAAGAGGACTTGTTGAAACTACAGGTCGTGAATATCAAGCATCATATAATCAATTGGTTAGATTACATATTATAATTTTCTTTTTAATAAAATATAAAAATGTATTTTTTAAAAATGTTAATTGTTAGTATAATAGATAGGTACCTAGATAATTAAAATATTTTGACTTTCTCTAGATTTCGAATTTTCTTTTTCGCTCTAATTTGCCCGACATTACTGGGCAAGATTTATTATCTATTGATATACAGCGAGGGCGAGATGTCGGTTTACCAGTATATAATCAAGTCAGATCAATTTGTGGAATATCACGGGCCAATTCGTTTGATGATTTATTGGATTTAATACCTTTTAAAGTTAATTTTACGAAAAAATAAATGTAATAAATACATTTTTTAATAAATGTAAATTACGATAATTTATTTTATTAGGCAATACAAATATTAAAAACACTTTATGCAACGGTACACGACGTAGACTTACATGTTGGAGCATTACTTGAGATGCCAGAAGAAGGATCCATGGTTGGACCTACTACTAGATGCATATTATCTGATAGCTTTTTTAGGTATAAGTATGGAGATCGCTTTTTTTACGATGTACAAGGACAACCTGGTAGTTTTTCACAAGGTATTTTATTTATATCAAATATAATCCATTTTAATTTTAACTAACATTTTTGATTTTTCAGAACAACTAAAAACGATAAAGCAAATTAACTTAGGCCATGTCATATGCGCTACAACTAATTTATTTACTCTACCTTTAGATGTTTTTAAAAGTTTACACGAGTATGTATAATTTTAAATATAAATAATATTAAACAGTGTAAAAACTACAAAACTGTTTGTAATAAATCAGTAATCACAAAGCTTATATTATATTATTTGTGACTTGGTGTGGCGCAGTCAGTACACTACTCAACTGCGGAAATGCTTTGTATCGGCCAGTGTTACTACCTCCCGGATGGGTGACCACCTGAGATTTTTACCTACAAATTCTTGACACACATACAAACGTGTTTCATCCAACCCTTAATCTACCCTACAAAAAAAAAAAAAACAGTTAATGACAAAAGTTACTGGGCTTAAGCTTAGTAAAAAAAAGCTTATATTTCTTATGTCACCTATATCTACTGACTTGCATTTTTCATATTGTTTTATTTGTTTATTATTTATCATAAAATAACCGACTAACTACTGAGCACTTTTTACAATTAGTTATTATATTATTAAAAGTAATTGTAGTTATAAATAATTGAATGAAGTTGGTTTACTAATTACTATCAGAGTTTATTATAAATAGAATTTTGGTATTAAATCAATACTATATTAGGTAGGTACGTTGTACGTAATAATATTTGATTAACTATTGTATAACTACCTATTTTATTATGTTTATCACAGTTTTTCTTCGATTAAATGGAATTGTGATGAACATTTCAAAATAGATCTAGAAGCATGGAGAGAATTCAAGTGATGATGAACCAATGATATCATAAATATTATGAGCTTATAACCAATATCTAACGACTAACACAACAATATACTAAAAAACTTACACCTGCTATTGGAATCCAACAAAACATCCAATATATGTATTTTAATAATTTTTTTTTAAAATAAAGCTACATATTCCATTAGTTTTAAATAACTATATAATTAATGTAAATATTTGTAAGCCAGTAGTCCAGAATCTAGATGACAAGGCTTATTTATTGTAATAAAAAAATAATAAATTATAATTATGATAAATCTGAATTACCTATGCTTTATTTTTTTATTTGTGTAATAGGTATTGAAATTGCCTGTGACTTACAATTTAGCTCAATTATACAATATACACTATACAGTAAGCTTTTGTTAATATAAAGCTATTTATATCCATACATGGAGATTCACAAAGCATGTTTTCCTCCATTAGGTATTTACTTTGATGGTTTTTATTTCTGATTTTTGGAATTTTTAAGTACCTTCTTACCTATACTTAAGAGTTAAGAACCATATTTTCAAATACTTAAATATTTTATGAAATAAAATACGGCTAACTGGAATAACCTTTAACTTATGAATAGGGTTCAGATTTATAGGTTATATAAACAATAAAAAAAGCATAAAATGTCAAAAAAGGCAAAAAAAAAGCATATAATATAAATATGTGGTTATATATATAGTGTGTTTATATAATATATATGTGATATGTCTATTGTCTGTGAACAAGATTGTAGTAAAACCCTAACGGCAAACCATAAACTGTCGTAGGTACCATACTCGTACATACCATGACTAAATAAACAGACATGTCAGCAAAATCGTTCTGCATAGGTATATATCATAGATTACAGAGAATCTATACTCTATAGAAATCCACTTTTTTACTAGTTATCTATAGGTATACCTTCCTTTACTTAAAAACAAATGGAGCAAAGACTGCAAAGTACATTGCAGATGAATTTCATTAATATTAACTTAATTTGAAGTATAAAATAATTATTAGTGCTATAGTGCACGTTACACTGCTTGCTGTTTTCTAGTATCAAAATATAACAGAACAAAAACACTTCATCGAACTCCGTGTAAAAAACGGCTAAATAAAAAAAAAAAACAAATCTTTAAGCACTAAAGATGTGATACTATCATAAATAAATTCTAAGGGCCGATTTCACCACTACTTTAAACTCCGATTAAAGTTAAACCGGGGTTTAATCGACCGAATTTGCCCTGTTAAATATCTTTATCAGTCGATTAAGCGTAATCGAAGTTTAAAGTATTTGGTGAAAGCGGCCCTAAGTAAATATTGAATTAAAGTAAGTACACTTGTTTTGTTTCAATAATTTATTTACTAATTGGTGAGAAATTATTTTGAGTAGAAATGTACATTATAACATTTTAAATTATTCTAATGCCTTTGGTTTATTTTGTTCACGTTATTTGAGTGGACTGTGTCATATTATAAAGTAAATAATTTCTCGCCAGTTGAATAAATTATTGAAACAAAATAAATGTACTTACTTCAATTCAATTTAATTAGCATTTATTTATGATATCACATCTTTATAGTGCTAAAGATCTGTTTTTTATTTTTACACGGAGTTCGTCGAAGTTTTTTTTGTTGTGATATCAGTATATCACCAATTTTTTAGATAATTGTCAAAATAACAGCTTTTTGGGGAATTTATTTTATCATTAAGTTTCTGTTTTTTATTTAATAAGTCATAGACCTTATACTAAGGTCTATGCAATAAGTACTATTCCTTATTTTTTATTCTTTGTTTGTATAATTAAACAATACCAATATATTATTATACGCTAGGTGCGAACACACTAACATTGACTACTATACTATTTATTAGTTATTAGTTATTACTAAACTTATTACTAGTATTATACTAGTAATAATTACAATTCAACAATTTATATTAAATACATTTTAACAAATATAAGGTATAATGTGATTTAATGAAGCGATAGTCGATAACGAAATGAAACAAATAATAAATAAAGTGGTGAAATAACAATATTGAAGTATGTGTCGCGTACACGAAATGGAATGTGGGAACCGGTCAGCACGACAACGCGAGATGCGGCTGCCGTGATTCCAGATTTCGTTATAATTTCTCATTAAAAAGTTTGCACGTTTCCTTTCATTACTTAATTTCTTATAGTACCATTTCGATGATTTTTGCAAAAGGATCATCTGCACAATTTCCTGATTTTTTCCAATTTCTTAGGTTTTAATTGATTCAGTAAATAATTAGTTAGTTCCGGTTAAAAAAAACACCAAAATGTACACTGTTTAAATGGGCAACTAATATATACACAATCGTGCCGCCGCTATATTTTTTTTACTTCTCCCTCGTCACGACCATGGCGTTGGATACTGTGAAACGATATTCCTAAGTATGTGTAATTTACCACATTTTGTCTAAATATGACATATGCACAAACATGCAATAACCATCAGCAGCAGACAGGGGCGGACTGGGCCGGCGGGATACCGGGAACTTTCCCGGTGGGCCGCTACTCAAAAATAATTAGTTACCTATTATTATTTATTTATAACAAAATCAGTAGGTATAAATATAAATTATAAATATTTTGTATTTTCATATCATAACTGTTGAGTGTGCAAAATGTTTATATTATATTTGGTGTTAAAGATTTCGTTAGTGATTTCGGTTCAGCTGGTTGACCAGCCCCTCGGCATCAATGCATAAACAGAAATTATTATTTATAACTACTAGGGTGTGAATTTGAAGATAAATTGCATTTTTTTCTGGATTCTCTTAAACATTGCTTTCCAATCAAAAAATGTATTTCATACATAAAATAATTTAAAAATTAAATTTTTATTTAGCATTTTTTAACTTTACTGATTTATATAACATTTTTTTGACGTTTTTATGACATTTTTATCGTTTGAAGGAATTTTTCGTAAATTTTATAAGTATATATACAAATATACAATTTTATAAACACTATTAGCTTAAGTTCCTTCAAGAAATTTAATATAATTAAAAATCATTTTTTCTTACTAATATTTCTATTTTATTACGTTTTATTTTATTTTGTTTGCTCCTATGACTTCAGTTATACAAAACAACACTTGCCAATTCTAACTGTCAAAGTTTTTTATTCAAAAATATTGATTAGCTTCTGATTGAAAAGTGATTATAATGAAACACAATATATGACGACTAACGACTAATGACTATACCTATTTAAGTTCTATTTTATTTTCATTTAAATTGGCTTTTCATTTTTCTGGGCATTTTACTAAGCTTTGTAATATTGTTACTGTGCATAAAATCGTATTTTTAAGGCATTGTTTTTTTTATTGTATTTATATCCATGCCCTATTTTTAACTTAATATGACTTTATACTACAGTCGATTAATATATCCACTTCTAGCCAGCCAGTATTTACTAATTATAACTAACATTAAATTGTACACAATAAAAAATATAATATAAATATATTGTACCTACATAATAGTAAAATATAAAAGATAATTTGTGATAATTTGATGGGAATTAATAAGCTGATAACTAAAGGTACAGTTTCGTACGTTCAATGTAACGTCCTTAATTAAAAAAAGTGAATTCTTGAACTTCTTTTTTATTTTATTGTAGTGTACTAGTGTATCGTTTGATGATTTTGTAATATTTACTTATCTATTTGTTGTTTAAAATGGAAACTAAAAGAAAGAGTGGGGTTGAAAAAATCAGAGAGAGAGAGAAGGATACTCTTAGAAAAATCAAGTTAAAGTAGTTTAAACGAAACTATTTTTTTCATCCGATATGGATCACTTATAGAGTAGGTAATAGAAAAAGTGATATATACATAATACTGTGCAGTACATTTAATTAAGATAAAATACTAAATAGGTACATTGAGAATCTTAAGTTGTCTCCTGAGGAAATTAAAAATGAGTAGGTGGAGGATGCAACCATTATTTGTCATAACTTTGGTACCATATTTAAGTCTTACATTTAGTGATGACGACATTTTAAGGGCCGGTCAAAATATAAATTTCCCGGGCTGAATAGTTGCCCCAGTCCGTCCCTGGCAGCAGACGTATTTTTCATCCGTTTTAGACCATGGTCTGCAGGGATTTTTAACCTCCGCCTGCCAAGCTAATTAATGTTTAGAAAATAATATGTTATTATTATATTATTATTATTATTATTATTATTTACTGTTTATTATTTACTATTATTAGTTAATGTAGTTTGTTAGTACGTGAACTAGCCGACAACCCGAGCCAGTGCTCAGTTGTACCAATTGTACGAATAACCAGAGTACTCTTTGGCTGTGCGGCTGTGGTTTTTAAATCACACCACGATTTAAGTATATCTTAAGGGGCCTCTACACCAGCCCTTTGATTGAAAATAACACATTTTAAATTTAACCATACTCTAGAATGCGTCATCCGACATAAGTTTTGAAAACGGATTTAGATTTTTCAATACTTGCTTGATGCATCGGTCGGAATAAATTTTAAATTTTTATTGTCAATATTATTTTTTAAACGATTACAAAACTTAAAAAATTGTAACTTTTCAAGTCAAAATAATTAAATAATTATAAATATTTTTTAAATTGTATCACGAGCGATGCCTTGGAAATGTTATTAAGAATTTATAAGTTTTTTCAAAACTTAAATCGGAATATTTATAAGAGCGTACTGTTAAAAGTAGAATCGTGTCTTTAGGGCGAAATTTTTCTTTGCATTTATTTCGAACAAGCTGTTTGACATGTTCACACCTGTTCACACCTGCGAGTGCGTAAAGTGACCCCGCACACCATTCTCAACCAACGCGTCGTTGTCACCCGACGCGGCACAAGCTAACCGACTTACTAGACTAATGTCCATTTACGAGTATACAATTAACACATCCACAACAGTAGTTTAGAAATTGCCTATATAATGTTCCTTAATAAATGTCATTGTTGAGGCCCCTTAAATCGTGGATCACACTAATTCATAATTGTCGCCACAAAACTATTATCAAGGTGTTATCCACCTTGAACATTATAATCACAGTTCTGTGTTATAATCAGTAGTCACATTAGATAATATTTGATAACAGAATAATGAATTCAAATTTGTTTGAATTCGTGGTTTTTATCTTAATGCTTAATAATTAATAACTATTGAATTATTCTTAAATAATACATTTTATAAGTTTTAAATAAACTATAAAAATTGATTTTTATTCATTCAGAATTGTTTCGTACAGTGTGGTGCTATAAAAATGCTTGTTTTATCTTTATTATACTTATGCTGGTCTTGTTATTAATTGTAATAAAATTATTGATATTATCATTTTTATTACCACACATAATACAATTGTCTGATCAAACTGCTTAATGTTTCTTTGTCTGTCTACTTTTAAATTTAAATCACGTTTACTATTTACCGTCCTGGTATTGTTGATTATTGCACCATTGATCGGTCATTACTATCTTTCAAAAGTAGGTAAATGTACAACTATATTTAAGTTATTGAAATGTCTATATGTTTATATATATTTTAGGAAGAAAAAGATGGGTTTGAAAATTCTTATAACTCACATTCAAAACTGGAAGTTCATGGGGACTATGGTGTTTTTAGAGCTACCGACCTAAAACATAGAATAGCTGAACTAGTTAGAATAAAAAGTAATTTAAATAGTATTATATATTTATATAATGGTACCTAATGTAATATTAAAATGCACATTTTCTATTTTTATTTATATATATTATATAAATCCCTGAAAAAAGTCCGACATGTTTTTTTTATTTAAGCCTATAGGTACTATATAGCAATATTTGCAGGAGGTGGAACAAGTGTTTTGCTCATCTTGCAGGACACGGGCTTCCAACCGTTATGAAGTTAATTTCTAAAATTTGTGAAGAGTTAGATAGAGCTATTCTAAAATAGCATTACGAGAATTAGATGAAGATTCCAATTTCCAGCACCAAAAAAAACATAAGTTTGACAATACCGGTGAATGTTTACGAAACTTATGCTCTAGAGTGGCCCATAATAAAATAAAAATGGAAAAATTTTAATATTGGCCAATGTATTCAAAAACAAAATAAACATTAACTAATTATTAATTTTAAATTATTTTACATGCTATATCTTTCATTGTTTACATTACTAATCACATTCACAAACACTCACTTTTTCTATTATTTTTTTACAATCCTAGAAAATCATTCATATTAATAAAATACCAACAAAAACTATTCAAAAATAGAATTTTATATTTATTTGTGCTCAAACATATGAGTGAACTTAACAGGTCAGTCACATGTCTAGTTTCATAAAATACCATTGAAAATATTACTGCTTCAGCAGTTATGCCTGATTTCATGGTTTTGTAAATTACTACTGCATAGGCGTGACTAGACTTCATCGGCAGGGGCAGCCTAGCTAATGATCGGTGCTACTGAAATTAGTGAACCGAAAAAAGCCCTAAACAACCAAAGCCGTATTTTTTTAACCCTCCTCCCCTCCACAATTAAATATTTATATAATTTTAAAAAAAGGCTAAATTATCTATTTACAATAATAATCTACAGTAACTTCAGAAATAATATTCATCTACATCCTTAGATTACACCACCTAGCTACAAATCAAACATAATATCAATAATACCTAGATGCGTACTGTACCGTCGTCGTCGGTCTCAAGTCTTTATAGTAGGTTTTTCCAATTTTCGAAGTCAGGAAATCAATTTGATAATACATGTTAAATAAAGATTTTATCTACCTAATTTTGTTGAACATATTATCTTTGTAAGTAAATGGTAATTATAACAATACACACAAAAAAAATCAAGTTTAAAAAAAAAAAATGTGACCCTTCTGATTTAAAACTCATGACCTTTCAAAAATTGTTAGGGCAGCCCAGGCACCCTAGGCTACCACTGTAGACACGCCTATATACTACTGTAGTGACCAATTACATCAAAATTGAAATAACTGCTATAGCAATAACTGACCGTGAAAGTGTTATTTGGACTTTTTAGTTATTCTTAAGAAAAAAAAAAATTAAATTGGAATTTTTTCCCCCTAATTTTTCTTTTTGATTCCCAAATTATATGCATTAACATCAAGGTTAAAAATATACATTTTAATATTTATAGCGTTCTTAATGTTTTTTTTTAGATTCTGTAAATAATGAATTAAGAAATATTGAAGGAAAACGGCAGAAACTTCTTAGTGAACTTGCTTTCAACCATAAAAAAATTGAAGATTCTAAAGCAGAACTTATACGACAAGAAGCAGAATTAGAAAAACTAAAAATGTCTGTGAAACAAGTTAGTATAATACATTTAATTTCTCTAAAAATATAGATATGACAATTTATTATATTATTTTAGGCTCAAGTTGCAGAAAATGAAGCTATTATACAGAATTCTCCTAACCTTGCTCCACCAACAATTATATTACCGAAAAATCCTCCTTCATTTATACCCTTATCAGTAAACACACGTTATACTTGTCGTAATATGAAAAATTGTTTCGATTATTCTCGTTGCTCATTAACATCAGGATTCCCATTTTACTTTTATCGCCCTGAAGAATTGCCCGAATTAGTTTCTACATCTTTGAATAAAATTGTTTTTCAAGTTTTACGTTATAACCCACATTTTACAAATAGTTCAGATAACGCTTGTGTGTATGTAGCTTTAATTGGTGAAACTCATAATTCTATTAACATAACACAATTAGAACGTCTTCCTTTTTGGGGCGGTGATGGTAGAAATAATATATTATTTTATTTAAGTAAAAATGTTTATAATAAACCAAATTTTGATCAAAATATTGATATTGGACGTGCCATACTTGCTCAGTCTTTTTGGAATGAAAAATATTTTCGTCCTGGCCATGATATAATGTTGCCTGTTAGTTTTGGACCACCAGGGGGAGAAGTTTGGATGGATTCTCCATACATGCTACCAGCTAGAAGAAAATATTTGTTATCTTTTGAAGGATACAAAAATATAAACTTTACCAAACACCAACAAAACTTTGGTAATTTAGAATTTAGAAATATTAAACCATTTAGACTTGTATTAATTGTAAACAAACAATTTAATTTTTTTTTTTTTTAGTCGATATGTTACAAAAGTTTATAACACAAACAACCGATGATCAGTTTTATATAAAAACCGATTGTAAGAATCAAAGAGTTGAGAGTAATATTGCTGATTGGTGTTTGTGTGGTGATGAAACTAAACGTAAAGTTTTTATTTCTCAATCAACTTTTACATTGATTTCAGCACCTATAGATATTGATATGATATCAACAGCAATGATGCAAACCCGTATTTTTGAATCACTTAAATTTGGTGCTATTCCTGTATTTTTAGAACATGACCGAATTGGATTACCTTTTGATGAAGTAAAATTATAATTCAATATTTATTATAGACATGTGCATGAGCTGCTGAAGGGAGCGCAAGAATTACCTGTACTATATTATAATTTTGAGATATGGCTGCCAATTACTGATAATTATTGTCTACTATAAATTTAATTCCGTAAAATTCAACTGTTAAATAATTGTTGTGGGTTGGAATTGGTTTTAATGCGTATGAAAACTATTTGCTTACCCATTGACCTTATCATACTTTTTAAATTAGTTTCATGTCTGGGTTTAATTAAAAAATAGACTGGTTTGTCTTACTCTGTATCCTAAACTGAAGTCTGCACATGCCTATGCTTATAGTATACAGTGTATTACAAATTCTTACATAACCATGTTTCAGGTTATTGATTGGTGTAGGGCTGCTATATGCATAGCAGGGGAGAGGATTCCAGAACTTCATTGGTTGTTAAGAACTATACCTGACAATGATATTCTAATGATGAGGCGGCAAGGTAGAATGCTCTACGAAAAATATTTCGGGACTATTCAATCTATTTTAGATACAACTCTTGCTGTTATACGTAATAGAATTGGTATCCCTCCCATGCCAGTGATTGATACACCTTCACCGAGTATATTTAGTGAACATTTCAAAGTGAGTTTTCTTTAATTAATATATTATATATTATAATAAAAATATGTAAGTATATAAATAATTTTTAATATAGCCGATTAAAATGGATCCAATCATACCAGATGCTGAACCTGAAGAAAGTTTAGGTCCCTTGGAGCAACCTTTTAGCTCTCCTGTTTTTAAAAGAAATCATACAATTATGAATATTCAAGGTTATGAATTATGGAACAGTTGGGGAGATCCATTTAAACTTTACCCTCACACACCTTTTGACCCATTACTCCCATCAGATGCAAAATTCATTGGTAAGTGAAAAATATTTTTAGTGGTTTCTGTTAAAATTGTATTCATTATTAAGTGTGTTATCTCTTATACTTAGGTTCTGGTAAAGGTTTTCGACCAATTAACAATGGTGCAGGAGGAGCAGGAAAAGAATTCTGTCAAAGTCTTGGTGGAAACTCACCTCGAGAACAGTTTACCATTGTTATACTTACTTACGAACGTGATCAAGTATTATTTTGTTATATAATATATTCTTAAATTTGATAACATTATAATTAATTTTTTTTTGTTAGGTTCTTATGAATTCTCTTAGCAGACTACATGGTCTGCCTTATTTAAATAAAGTACTTGTTGTGTGGAATTCTCCTAAACCACCTCTTGAAGACTTACGGTGGCCTGAAATTGGTGTACCTATACATGTTAGTATAAGATGAATAATTTTGCTTTTTTTTTGTCATTTATTTAATTAAAATTTTATTCATTTAGGTTATTCAGGCAGCTAAAAATAGTCTTAATAATAGATTTCTACCTTATGAAGCAATTGAAACTGAAGCTGTCTTGTCAGTTGATGATGATGCTCATTTAAGGCATGATGAAATTATGTTTGGTTTCAGGTAAATTGAAAATGTATTATTTTGTTTTTAATTATTATTTAACACCAATATACACATATATTTTTAAGGGTTTGGAGAGAACAGCGTGATAGAGTTGTTGGTTTTCCTGGACGTTTTCATGCATTAGATCTTAATCATGGTGGTTGGCTTTATAACTCAAACTACAGCTGTGAATTGTCTATGGTCTTAACAGGTGCTGCATTTGTACATAAATACTATTTATATTTGTATTCGTACTGGCTACCTCAAGCAATTCGAGACAAAGTAGACCAATATATGAACTGTGAAGATATTGCAATGAATTTTTTGGTATCTCATGTCACCAACAAACCTCCTGTGAAGGTTGTTATGCGATAAATCAAATATTTTAATATTACAATAATATGCATATTATTTCAACTTCAGGTAACATCTAGATGGACTTTTCGCTGTCCAGGATGTCCTGTTTCACTGTCCGAAGATGAAACACATTTTTTAGAACGCCATAAATGTATCAACTTTTTTACAAAGGTAAAATTTTTGTATTATTTTTTTTATTTATCATTAAATTTAAAATATTTTAATACCAGTAAATTTGTTAAAATACTCCCATATCATAATACTAAATATTTTTATGTTTTAGATATTTGGTTATACACCTCTTCTAAATACACAGTTTCGAGTTGATTCTATTCTTTTTAAAACTAGAATACCACACGACAAACAAAAATGTTTTAAATTTATATAAACATGAAAAAAGAATCAGGTCAAAATTAAATCTATGATTGTTTCAGTCCACATTCCGTAGAGATTGGGTCATATATTTATATGATTTAACAAGACTGATAATTTTAAATTTGATTAAAAATATATACCATTTTGACTTTTCTAAACTAATGTAATTGATTATAAATTATTGATATACACATTGAAAAGGTGTTAAAAAAGTTTATACTCCTATGATACAATTAACTACACTATTTATATGTGATAAAGAGTTATTATTATAAATTTAAAAATTAAAATCCTAATTTTCTAAATGTCTTATAATCGAGTGTAGCTAAGAATTAGAATGGAAATATTGTTCATTAGATTCTTTAGAAATGTTTATGTAAAATAAAAAAATGTTATAAACAATGTACTATAAGTGTTTTCATAAATATTTAATTTTTTAAAAAAAATATACACTATGTCCAATTTCCTCTTACCACATCTTATGTTCGTTTAAGTAATATATTGTTATTCTTAATGCAACTGTAAGATACTGTGATATACTTACAGTTTTTAAATCCAAAAAATAACTAGGTACTAAATTGTTTTCAACTTTTAATAAATATTGGCGTGGTTGCAAGCAAATTTTAAAATGTCAAAAAAAATTAACTTAAAAAACTTAGTATTAGGACTTAGTTCTATAGTTTATTTGTGGACCCCCCCCCCCTCTCCCCTTGGGATTTTTACCACCACTATACATTATTACAATATAAAATAATGGGAGCCGTTGAACATCATTACCTCTGTGGAAATTCACACCCTTCAGAACTAAGATATATACCACTTATATTTTAAAATATCATGGAATTAATAAACTTCCAAAAAAATTTGTTATCATCTTCCACTCCAATACAAACTAATTTCTAAGCAAATACTAATTTGAATTTGATGTGATGTGTAGGCTTAAAAAAATTTAGATACGAATGTTTTTTGGTATTTTTAGGTTGCTGTAAGAACAACTTACTTATGATGATCCTTGTATTAAATTTGAAGTTCTGAATTTGAAATATTTCAAAATTGAAAATGTCGGTCAATGAAATTATAAAATATATTTAATTTTTTTTTATACGTATTTGGAGGATTAGAAATGATTATTGATTATGCACAGAAAAGATTACTAATTTATATAGTAGTGACAATTTAAGAAATTACTATCTTAAATCGTGTTAATGGTTATAGTTAATAATTTATCACAGATTTCTAAATAGTAAGTGTAGTATAGAAGTCTGTGTAATTTATAATTTATAACTTATAAATTTGGTATAAACGCAGAATACATAAATGGAATAATATTATTGGTTGATATTACTTATCAATTAGGTCCCTATGACCCTATTGACTATTATTTATTAGTAGGTATTTTAAACAATAAATTAACTTTTAAAGTTCATGTCTAGAAACTTTTAGATATACCTATTAAGTATTTTTATTTTACATAAATTAAATATTTCAAAAAATAAAATTGTATCACATTTTAAAACCATAAATAAATAATTGTTAAACTTCTTTCTCTGAAATAAATATTTCATCGTACCTTATACGAAAAAAAAATCGAAAGTAAATCGAAAAAAACATTAAAAGAATGAATGTTAATAGTTAAAAGCTTTTAAAATATCCATTATTTGAATTTATTAGGGACCTTTTAGTCTGTAATTGTGTAATAATTAGAGTCGGATTTAAATTACCTAAAAACTATCCAAAACTTATTTAGAAATAGCACAAAATGAACTAAAAAAAATATCCTTAAAAATGACATCAATTGTTTTAATCATTCTTGAAGCAAACAAATATAAGAAACTTGACCTTATATAACGATCCTAACCTACCAGTATTTGGAAAGAATGTTCGTTCATGTTCATATTTAGTGAACGATACCTGAACGTCATTCATTTTTTTTAAATAGAACTACAACGTGAACGACGTTTATATATTGAATGAATTTGAACAATTTTTAAGACGTTCAAATTTATTTATTATTTGATAAAATATATTGATTGATAATACTATTATGATGTATAATATTTTACGAATTATAAAAATAAAACACATGCAATTAAGGTCCCATATATTACTGTATTGAAGTCATATATGTATACGATTTATTTATAATCTTAAAAAATAAATTAAATAGGTAGATCGTAGATATAAAACAAAACAATTGAATTTATAATTTAAAAAGGGGTCCAGTTTTTTCATTCATTTTCGGTATAAGATATCGACCGACATTATGACGTTATCCAGTGTTTAGAACAATTCATCAAAGTATTATAAGATGCATTTTTGTCTGTTTTCTTATTTTATTCTAAAAAATAATATAAGAACAGACTATATTATAATACGGTCGACTTAAAATATTGCTGACCCTGCCAGTTCGCCCCTGGTATTAGGATATAGGCTAAACTAAAAATCGGTAAAAATATTGATAAAAATTAGGTGTATATACAATCACACCAAAAGTATACTTCTAGGTCCTGCCAAATAGTTAAACATAATATGTTGACTAAGCATTTAACATTACAATTGATCTTATTTGTCATAGGTATTTGTAATATAAAATGTAATTTTACTTAATTTCCATATTAGATCACATTATCACGTCTTTTAAAGATTTAATCATTACTAATTTTTTTTTTTTTAACTTTGTGTTTTTTTACACGGAGTTATAACGAAGTGTTTTCGGTGTGAAATCAGCTATTTTTTTATGAAATAAGTCGCGATTTTATTTGACTGTAGAATATAATAATAATAATCCATAATAGCATATGCATCGTTGGCCTTCTGTTGTTATATCTCTTTTTCTATTTTAGTTTTTTTTTTCTAAAACTATAATATAAATATTATATCATTACATCTAACCCATATTTTATTATTATGTTTAATAACTGATGTGTAATGGGCTTGAGACTCGAGTCATAGATGGACCATGATGGAAAATCACAGAATTAAGATCATATAATTTGCCATCGACCTTAGTCGTTGCCACGGCTAATGAATTAATTACCAGATTGCTTATTTTATTTTATTATTGTTCCAAGTTTTCAGCACAATGATATAATACCGTCGAGCTGGATCACGAATTCACTAAGCACAATCACAGTCGTTGAGTCGTCAGCAAGTACCTACCTATAGGCAATAGGCTATAATCTATATTATACTATCTCGCTGGTCGTCACGAAATGGTATAATTTGTCATGGTATCTCGGCATCCGAGAGACCGCGTAGTACGTCATCGCCGCCGCCGCGATGAGAGTAGTGGGAATGGATAAGCTGCTGGTCGTGGGATATTTTCGTTCCCCGACTCACCGCTTATTAATCCCCCCCACTGTTTCATACGCAAAATCAGTCTTAAAAGTACTTGAACATTTTTGTTTATAACTTATAAACTTACTATCTAACCAATCTGCTAGCGAGTTCCTCTGTTCTCATTTGCACAATATTTCTGATCGATGATACTTCTCATACGACTTTATATGTTTAGCCGTTTGCCCTGTAGAGCTTGGCAAAGAATTTACATAAATTAGGACGACTTTTCAATGTTAAAACTCGGTTTCCTGTTATTATACGTTAGTGGCTATATTCCTCTATTTTTTTTACTTAGCTTCGCGCCACTACCGTCGCACTGGATATAAATCTTACAAGATGTCAAGATATTATATTGATTTTAAAGTTTCAACAATATTCTTGGTTACCCGGCGTGTAGTATAGGCAAAATAGGCACCTACACTACTGTAGTGTTGTCCATAATTACATTTCAGCTCTTCCTACTCCGTTCCTTGATAAAAATACAGAATGTGGTTATGCACAAACTAAAACGCGTCATACACTATCATGTCCCACCGCTAAAGCCGAAGACCCAGATCGTCAATCCTCAGCATCAATCGTATACGCGGAGTAACTAAATTCTCTAGGTGAACTGAGTATAGCTGTTTAGGTTTGGTACATGTAGGCACTTTGCACATGGCCTGGATGTTTTTTGAGGAGAGTTTTAATCTCATATTTAAATATAACATGTGGGAGCCGGGAGGTTTTAACCGCAGTAGTCATCAATATTCATATTAATAATATCAAATAAGAAATAGAACCATAAACGACCACATATTTTGTAGAAATCTTGGTTATAAGGAACATTCAGCCGAAGGTGGTGGGGGGGGGGGTGCTTCAACACCCGAAACATCCCCCGGGCCAATGGCATATCCGATATTAGCCGTATCGATCCCGGAATATCTAAACGCAATGAAAAATCGATAAGACAACGAGGGGTAAGTCTATGACCCAATTGACACCACGCATACAGCAAAGCGGTAGGTATCCAGTTGCTCAACTTTGTTCATTTATTTTTTTTGATTATTGCTTAAAATGCAGATGTATTATAGATGAAAAATCATATTTTTATAGAACTATATTCGTTTTATGAATCAATAAATAATTGGCATTACTGCTATTTAGAATTAAGATAATTAAAATATGTAATAGGAAGTAGCTGGTACCTATAATAGTATAATAATATAATAATATGTATATAAAATTAATTCATCAATTTACCGTAAAAGCAATACCACTATACCTAGTTTAAAAAATTCCAAAAGTTATTATATGGTATTACAGGCGCGTATCCAGAATTTTATTTCGGGAGGGGCTGAACAAAATTATCAACATAGTCACACAATAAACAAAAAGTGGGTAAGTGGATGTCGCTCTGCTGTACAGTAGGTAACAAGTGGGTCACTGTAATGGATGGTGTAAAATTTGAATTCAATGATATAATATCATTGTATAAGAAAAACGATTCTAAGCGAAAACAGTCAGTCAGCCTATGATATTACTAAGTATATTTGATGATATTATTGTGAATAAATTAATTTATATATTTACCTATTTACGTGGACCATTGTTTTAAATTTTTAATCCTTAACTATGAAAGTTGAAAATTTTATAAATTTTTAATTACAAAATATTTATTATATTTTAAATTTGATAAATTTTGTCAAGATTCGAACTTTAAATGCTTATAAAAAAACTATGACTAAGGATTTTTAATATTTTTCAACTGCTATTGTAACAATATAGCAGGAGCCTTGTATTAAATTTTCAAGCTTTTTTACCCAACAAATAAAGTTGTATTGATATTTATAGAAAAAAAACTAAGAAAAATGAAAACTGTCAATGTCCGTAAATAGCTCAAAAAGAGGCAAAATATTTTCAAATTTTTTTGGTGTATAAAAAATGAAAACATTCAGCAAAATTTTAAGTTTTGTGATTTTTCCATATTTTGTCAAGATTCGAACTTTAAATGCTTATAAAAAAACTATGACTAAGGATTTTTAATATTTTTCAACTGCTATTGTAACAATATAGCAGGAGCCTTGTATTAAATTTTCAAGCTTTTTTACCTTACAAATAAAGTTTTATTGACATTCATATTTTTTGGATTTTCTTGAAATTTCAGGGGGGGCTGCAGCCCACCCAGCCTCCCCCATAAATACGCCCCTGTGGTATTATAATAGTATATAAATTATAATTACGTTATATTTTATATTCAACTAGCTGATTCTGCGCACTTCGTTCCCGTTAAAAAATGTCAACGGGAATGTACCGTTTCCGCCAAAATTTGAAATGACCGATTCCGCTATCGCCCGTTTCCTCCAAATTTAAAAAGGTTCAATTCCCGTTTCCGCCAATCTACCTGCTATGGTAAAATTATTATAATATATTCCATAATACTTGGAGTATTATGCATATTATTTTTAAGGAATATTTAAATTTTAACTTGAGATAATTATTCCCAGTATACTGATAATTTATTAGAAACTTATATACACTAAAATTCAAAATTTCCTCCAAAAATATGGGCATGTATGACAGAAAGTTTATCTCAAACAACAAACAATTGTGAATCATTTCATTCACACTTTAATCAACAGTTCTACAAATCACACCCAAATATAAGTATATTTTTAAAAATTTTGGTTGAAAATGTCCAGACGGACACTTACATTAAAATAAATAGTGGCAATTTAAATATTCCGAATACACCGAAAAATAAATCAACTTTGTTAAAATGTGCTAGGACTAGTAAGGCTATAACTGATTTTAAAAATAAACTAATATCGCGTTATTCGTACGTAAAGTGTGTTGCATTCAATTATGTTAAATAAATTAACAAAATATTATGACTTTTTAATTATTTTAATTTTTGTATTTACAATAAAACTAGATATGACAAAATAGTATGTATTTTTTATTTGAGTATAATATATTTATCAATATACAATGTTCTCATCTCAAATATTCCTTAAAAATAATTTAATAGCTTGATAATGTGATTATGTTTTTATAATTATTGTGATTATTTTATATTTATTTTTACTATTTAATTTATCAATTTAATTGTTGACAGGCTTAATATATGCTTAATACTCCAAGTATTATGGAATATATTATAATAATTTTACCATAGCAGGTAGATTGGCGGAAATGGGAATTGAACCTTTTTAAATTTGGCGGAAACAAGTGATGGCGGAATCGGTCATATCAAATTTTGGCGGAAACGGGTAATTCCCATGTCAACTCTTAAAAAAATTGTGGTTATTCAACTCCTATTGAGTGTAACTCGTTGCAGTATATAAGTGCAATTCAGCCAACTTTGTAGGCAATGTGCGAAAAATCGATTTTATGGAAACTTGTACCTGATCTCCTGATAACCAATGGAAACCAAATACCAATAAAATAATAGGTAAATACTAATTTCTACTAATTATTTCTCCTATAACCAATAGCAATCATTTATAAACAAAAATTTCCATCGTAAATCTTATAATTCCTGTTTGAGCACTTCCTCGGGTTGGACCTACCTGGTCCAATTGTGAATAAACCCCTAGCAATTAGCATTTTGTTGGGTTTGTCACTAAAAACCCGGGTGTCACCCATCCGGGAGCTAGCGATGTCGGATGATGCTTGACCGCAGCACACAATACACATTATTAGTGACTGGGCCATTGGGGTCAACCACCGTGCCATAACAATTGTAATACAATAAAAACAATAATTTCTATACAGTTATAGAACAACACAAGTGTAAGGGATTTAATTTTTTTAATTCAATAATATAATAAATGTATAAAATATTAAAATATAAATATAATTTTTGTTACAATGTTAAAATATTACAATTAAATAGGTAGGTGGGTAGTTATCACTTATCCAGGTAATAAAAATATATTAATTATAATTTAGAGTTTAGGATACCTACTTAATCAATCTCTGGAGGCTTGGAACAAAAATATTATAATAACGACTTACGACTGTTACGAGTATAATATTATGTAAGAACTTAAAACAGTAAAAATATGAAGTAGGTAAATAGTAACAAGTAATTACTAATAAGTAATAAGTAATTAATATTATTTTAGTTATATTATAATACTATAATAATGCATTTACAACAAAAACCGGACTTCGGATGAATTTTCAACTGTGGCACCTAGCGGCTATGTCGGCTATAAATTATAATATCTTCTCTACATTGTGGCACAGAGTAATAAATAATATGTTGACATAAGATTGTGACAGCACTAGGCACAATTCTATTTCACAGCTAGGTTTCGCTGCGGTATACGACTTAAATGTAATAAATTATAATATTTGTATTATGCAGGCTGTATAACCTACAGTCCTACTCCTACTCCTACTACTACTCAGCCAGCCATTGCCTAGTTACCTGCAATATCATAACAATTCATAAGTCATAGCTCAGAAGCTACTTTTTAGTTTTATTATTGATTAATTTAATGTCCATACATGTTAGTTTATTTGTTGGTATTTACTTAATAATATATATAATATTATTGAAATATTTATAATAAAATAATAAATAATAACAAAAAAAAAGTTATGGTAAATTATTTGTTTTTATTTTTATTATATACATCAAACTATTTCGATTCAATTATTTTTAATACTGTATATTGTAGGAAGGAGATATTTCAGTAAATGAACATCATAGGAATGTCATTGATAGCTATATAGAATTTATGGGTCACCAAAAAAAACAATCTATTATATTAATTAAAAAAGCGTTTGAAGAAGTCATCAAAACAAAGTATAATTTATTATGTATTATATTATAGTATTATAGTAGGTACATATTATATTTTATTATTATTAAAACAATAATTTAATTATTTTTAAGTTTATTAGATGAAACGTACACAAGAGAAGAAGTGAAGAATATATTAAGCAACTTAGAAAAAACAATGACAAATGAAATAAAGTGTGAATTATCTGCATATACAAGCACCAATCTCCTAATGATGTATCAATTTTTTCAACAAGCTGAAAAATGGCATTTAAGGCTCAACGTAGATATATCTGAAATACAAAACAAGTAGGTGGATATAATTTCTACTTTAATTTTACTTATTTATAGGCTTACATAGTATTTTGTATAAATAGAGAATTGTTACAAGAGATGGAAACAATAGAAACTAGTTATTACGTAATGAACCGAACATTAGAAAAAAAGAAGCTTTTAGGTACTCCTGATCACATTACAAATGATTTTGCTAATGTGTTGCAAAAAAGATTAAATCAGCTAGAAACCCATAATTCTAAATTGGAAGCAGATTTAAAAACTTTAGAAGACAATGTAAAAAAAATAAAAAATATTTTTTTAATGTATATAATATAAGAATAAAATGAAAGTGTTTTGACTTTACAAACATATTTTAGTGTAATAAATTGAATAATGAAAAAGAAGCAATGAAATTACTTATCGAAAAAGAAGACAAACAAGGAGATCCACAAAAAAATTTAGTCGAAATTGAAGTACAAACTCAAAATACTTTTGACGTAGGTTTATCGAAAAAAAAATGAATGCCTTAGAATTTTGTACTAATAATAATTTAATTATAATACGTACATTTAGGAAAATACTAACAATCACGATGAATGTAAAACAACAGTAAATCAATTAGAAAATGAATTGTTAATTGCGCAATCACAATTAACACTAACAAATTTGGTAAGTTAATATTTCCATATGCCTAATGTGGATAACACAAATTTAGGTAATTGTTAGCTATTTATTTTAATTACTTACATTTTATTGACTATTTAGTATTTACATAACAATATTTTAAAATAATAGTGTTCAATAATGTGCCAAACTGACTAATATTAAAAATAGATGAACACAATAAATTAATGTAAATTAATCAAATCAGTTTCTTTGTTTATTATAATAGTAACTTAGATTCATCTTTTTATACATAGTATACAATTTATGATAAATATGACGTGCTTAATCAACTATTCACTGTGGTTTGAAAGCAGGTTTGTCAATTATAATATGATAATTGAGATATTTGTTTAAGGAGTTGGACAGAAAATTTAATGATACTGCTGCATACATCAACATGAAGAATATAATTACCAAAAAAAACGAACAGGTTCGAGAACTAAGAGATCGGTTGCTTATTTACGAAAAAGAAGACAACCAAGATAATGTTGTATGATTGAAATTACAATTAGTTAATAATGTAGGCTATAATAAATATTGTACATAGATTCATTAAAAAATATTCAATTACATAGTACTGCAGTAAACTCACTATTTTGTTGGCCCAGTGGCGTGCGGTCAGATCAAGCGGTAATAGACCATAGCCCAGAAGTAGATCAAAGAAGAGTAGTAAAATTGATTAAATTCATTAGACAATAGTTGAGGTACCTAGATAATAGTTGCATGAACATAATATTTACATATTATTGTGTTTATTAAAAAATATAAATACTTATATCTTACAATAAAGATCTAATATCTTTTTTTGCTATTTATAAACATTTTAAATTTTTTGTATTTTACTTTTTAGATTCTGAGTGGAACGATGAATGTATTGATTTTACAATGATGTGTGTTTTTATATATTTTTTTTTTTTTTGTATTTTTGTGTCTGTGTACACGATAAGTAGTCGAAATAATGTTCGATATTCGACTTCAGTATCTTGTTCGATTGGAAAGTGAATATCGTTGGTGCATTAGGGAGGTCAAAATTTAAAATTCCCAGCACTTTTCAAAAGCGCCAAGAAAAACAAAAGAAGAATTAAGGAAAAACGGGAATTTTTACGCAAAATCGATTTTTCAGAAAATTGAATTTGGTTTTTGGTGTTACCTACTTTAATGCTAATGACCGTAGATACATGAAATTTTCACTGGTTGTTTATATTTGCATTTTCTATACACGATAACATTTTCAAAATATTTTGATTTATTTTGAACTGTTTAGGGACATTTTCATTTTTCATTTTTTTTTTAGTTTTTTTCTAGAAATATCAATAACATTTTATTTGTTGGTTAAAAAAACTTGAAAATTTAATAAAAAGCTCCTAGTATATTGTTTCAAAGGCAGATGAAAAATATTAAAAATCGTTAGTCACAGTTTTTTTTTATAAGCATCTAAAGTTCAAAAATTGACAAAATATGGAAAAATCACGAAAATTAGCAAATTATTTTGAGTAAAAAGAAGAATTCGTAAAAATTTTTCTTTTTAAATCTAAGATTTAAAAATGTAATACAAGATTCCTTATAAGATTATCTACCTTTATCAAAAAAAAAAATGTCTATAAGAAAGTCAAATTAAATTTATATGAGCGTTTGAAATTCAAATTTTTACAACATTGGATATTCACTCGATTTCTTATGTAGCGATTTCCTTATTTTGTTGTAATTCAAAAACGAATAACTGTAGATACATGGAAATTTCACTGAATGTTTAAATTAGCATTTCCTATACACCATACAATTTTGAAAATATTTGGAATCTTTTTGGGCTGTTTACGGACATTTTAAGTTTTCAATTTTTTTAGTTTTTTTTTCTATAAATATCAATAAAGTTTTATCTGTTGGGCCAAATAGTGTAAAAATTTAATTCAAGGCTCCTGATATATTGTTACAATTTCAGTTGAAAAATATTAAAAATACATAGGCACAGTTTTTTTTTATAAGCATTTAAAGATCGAATTTTGACAAAATTTATCAAAATCTCGAAAATTATCAATCATTGTAATTAATAAGTTATAAAATGTTCAGTTTTTATAGCTAAGGATTGAAAATTCAAAAAAAAAGGTTCTCATAAATAGTTCATACTGTAACCAAAAAATCTAAAAAATATATGAACACAGTTATTTTTTACAGACATTATAAATTCAAATTTGGACGAAATCACATATTAAAAAACCTAGAATAACTATTTTAGTTATTTTGTTGTGATTGAATAATATTATTCGTGGGTACTTGAAACTTCTACTTGTATCTCGGTTTTTTTTTTATGTATAACGCGTTATAAGTACCTAATGGATATGGTGATATGATTAATTTGGAATTTATTATAGGTACCTATTAAAGGTCAATTTTTTGTTATATACCATGTCTTATACATAGACCGACATACCGTCTCCGCTCAGAATCGTTTTTCTTATATAATGATATTATATCGTTGAATTCAAATTTAATATCATCCATTATACAGTGATCCACTTGTAACCTACTGTACAGCAGAGCGACACCCACTTGCCCACCTTCTTTTATTTATGTTTCTTGAAATGTCGATAACAATTTGATTGTTTGGTCAAAAACCTACCATTTAAAAATAATAATAATACATTCCACTATTCGAGAATCTATAAATGTTTTATGTTCATAACATTTTTTCTATTGGGGCATAAAACTTGAAAATGTAATACAATAAGTTCCTCATAAGTTGTTATAATAGCAGTTCATGTATATTTAAGATACTAACTACTAAAACACGTTTTTTTGTTTATAAATTATAACCATTTAAAGTTCAAATTGTTAACAAAATTGATCAAAATCTCGAAAATTTGCAAACTGTTTTATAGTTAAAAATTTAGAAAATTTTTAATTTTTACAGCAAGGCCTAAGGATTTACAACTTTAAACAAAGTTTCTCATAAGTAGTTCATACTGTAACGAAAAAACTTAAAATATGATATAAACTCAGTATTTTATTAATAGATTTTTAAATATATTTATTTTTTTTCAAATTTGGAAAAAATTAGATATTTAAAATAATATATTAGTAATTTAAAATTATTATTATAGTATAGGCTGTTTTGCTCAGAATTGTTATTCGGGTACAATTCCTTTATAATCAAATAAAACAAACTATAATTTTAGATTTTGCCTTTTTTTCTGAATTGAACATATGACAATATAATACAATTCATTAATATATATATGTATAGAAATGTAAAAAATATTATAAGAAAGTTTCAGATATCACTAATATAATTTCTCAACACATACAATAAAATGAAAAAAAAATTTAACCTCTAGCGAAGGCGTCACTTTGAGGACTCACAATTTCTTTTATACGCATTTAAAGTTCGAATCTTGATAATAATCTCGTAATAATCACAAAAATGCAAGGCTGGGCATTAACGAGTTAAAAAGTTAAAGTTAATTTAATTTAAACTTTTTAACTTAACTAGTTACTTTTGACTTTTCATTAACTTAACTGTTAACTTACTAAATTTCTTTTTTAATTAAAGTGAAATTAACGAATTAATTTTTCATTTTATGATGTAAGTTAAGTTAATTTATTTTGTTTTTAATTTAATTATATTTCACTATTTCAGTCTATTTCGTTTTCATTTCAAAAAAATATTTACCTACCGTGAATTGTTTAAAGTTGAAAATGTATTATTATATATATAAATTTATATCATTCAAATCTAACTTATATGGAAATACTGTATTAAGTATAAACACTATTGTCTATAATTTAGTTTTGGGTTGGAAAAATGAAGTACACTAGCGTTTTATAAACAAATTATTATTTTTTTAACTTAATAAAAAGTTAACAAAAAATGTGCATAAGTTTAACAACTGAGTATTAACATATTGTTAAATTAACTTTTAACTTTTAACTTTTTGTTATTGGTGCATATTAACTTAACTTAACTGAGTTAAAAAAAATCATTAACTTGCCCAGCTTTGCAAAAATGTGCAAATTATTTTGAGGTAGAAATTCATAAATTTTTTCTTTTTAAATCCAAGATTTGAAAATGTGAGACAAGATTCCTCATAAGTTTGTCTACCTTATTTCGATTTCTCATGTAGCGATTTTTATATTTTGCTGTAATTCAAAAACGAATAACTGCATGTAGATACAGTAGATGCATACAATTTACACCATATGTTTATTTTATGAATTCCCATACTTGATAACATTTTCAAAACATGTTGAGCTGTTTTTAGAGGTTTTAAAATGATGTTTATTTTAATTAATATCTTTGATGAACACCTAATTTACACCTTGGAGTTGATACACGCGTTTAATATACAATATTATATTTTTTATGAGAATCCGTGGACGATTTTATGTAATATTTTCTGAGAATCCGTGGGCGATTTTATGTAATATTATATGATAATAATTGAATAATTTCTTATTACAATTAATGAACATATTATATTATATACTTATCTATGCTAATATGAATAATTATTACTGAATATATAGAGTTTAATATGTATTGTAATTTGTAAGTTCAATCCACCTCTGTAACCAACCTTTTTTTTATAAGTTTTCCTCGACCGTTAAAAACAATGAGTAACCATAGCCATCACGTTGATGGAGTTGGGAGATTTTCCATGTTAGCACAAGGCGCATTAGACGAAGTTCCTTCAGATATTACTGTTGGTGTAAGAATATCAGAAAATGATGGTAAAGAAAAATATAACTAAGTATTAAATAGGAGATATGTATAGTCAGGTACCTAAGATCTTTTTAATTTGAGTTTAGAGTCACCAGTAACATTTGAAGAAGCACAGGATGAGTCTGGTGAGTAAAATCAAATTCATCATTTTTTTTGTACCTACCTACCTGATTTATTATATTAATTATAATATATTATAAATTAATTTCAAGAATAATATATAGTTGTATAACATAAAGCTGTACCTACCATACCTGATTTCACCCGAGTTAAAATAATCTATCTTTCTATCTTTTCCGTTTTGTTTTAAGTAGTTGAAATATATAATGTAAGCTTCATTACAATTATGATTAATTTTATGATTTGCCACTTCTTAATTATTTTGGACATACTTTTGATGGAAACACAAAAAACTGGACACAGATTCAACGAATGCTTAAAAGTCACAAATTCAATATTGTTAAGATCGTTATTCGTTTTTATGTATTTACCAGGGATGGGAAAGTTCTTTCTATAAATGAATTAGTTCAAGTTCAAGTTCAAGACATTAAATATGAACTAGTTCAAATTTTAGTTCAATAGTTCATAGTTTTTTAAAATGATCAAAAATTTAAAAAAGTTACTAAAGAAAATAAAATAAAAAAATACCTGAAAATACGTATGGGACTGCCGACTATGCCTCGAAACCGGCGATACGCGGCTCTGCAACATACTTTATCCTATGTAACTAATTAGTAATTAGTAATTGAAAATAATAATTATAGAGCAGTGGTTAAAATAATGTTGATTAATAATCGGAAACAAAATCATAATTAAAATTAACTTTGTTTGCGTAATACAAATAGTTTTATATTCTTCCAATCACCCTGTATTCTGCGGAACACGCTTTATACAGCATAAAATAATTTGTATGGGCATGTTAATTGTTAGTCTTGGGAATGTTATATTTATTACACTTTATTGTATTACTTGTGTCAAGTTACAACCATAGATATTTATTCTTTAATATCTATGGTTACAACAGAATTATAATAATATACCATAAATGGTATACCTATGCCGGGTTGCATAAACGTTCATTAAACATTTAATGAACCAATAGCGCGCTATTGAATGAATAAATTATTTAATGGCTCACTAAACGGTCATTAAACTTATTGGTTCCTTAAACTGGAGGTTACCAGATCATTAAATTAGTGATCAGATTTCGGCTCACTAAATTTTTATGCAACGGTTTATCACACAATTATAATTTTTTCTCAAATCTCAAAATAGCTAATATGCCTACCGATACGAGTTACCAATATATATATATATATATATATATCTTTAATCGTGATTTGTATTAATAATTAATATTATCTTCTCAATTTGGTGATAACAAAATTATCAAAAACCACATACTAGGTATAAACCAAAAGTAGTTTAATACATTTTTTATGCAACACGGTTAATTAATCAGTACATTAATCGGTTCATTAAAAGTATTTTAATCATTCATTAAAACAAACCATTAAACTAATTTAATCATCGCTTTTATGCAACCCGGCACTACTGTCCTACTATTCTTACGTCGATCAACGGCTCGGCGTTGTGATTTCAGGGAAAATATAAATATCCAAACTAAAAATAAACAAAATTAAAAACAAATTATATCTTTTGATTCTTGAGAAAGAACCTGATCGGCTACAAAACATTTCAAAACGCTATCCTTTCGCCTGTTCTATGAAGTTTAAATTGTCAATGAACGAACCCAAAACGTTCAAAATCATAATCAATAAGAACTTAGTTCACGTTCAAGTTCATTTCTTGAAAAACGAACTCGTTCATGTCAAGCTCACAGAAAATGAACGCGTTCTTACTTCTTTCCCATCACTTATTTACATCAAAGATAAATGTAAATATTTAAGAAAGTTTTTTTATATTTTATTTTTACAAGTAGGTAATATACAATCTGTATTAAATACAATAAGAATATATGCTAAAAGTACATTCACAGAAAATTAATTTGATGAAAGGAGCCACCCATTGATGACACTTTCTATGGTCACTTAAAATTATTTACTAAATTATTTTTTTTATTTTTTTTATTTTTTTTGTTATAACAAATCACGACACTTTGCGCTTTAGGCGTCTTGGCCGGGGATTACCCGGTATGGTAGCGGAGGCAAAATTTTTAATAAGTGGATTTGAATGATTACGTATGTGACTGTGAAATCTTTTATAGAAGCATTTAGATTCCTCAGCTATTGTTTTTATTTTTAGGTCAGAGTGTAGGGAAAAATTTGAAACTTAAGGAGGTGCATTTGTTAATTTCCTTAGAGCAATGTTTTGGAATATTTGAATTTTGTTAACGTTTTTTTTTTTGCACTACCCCATAACTGCAGACCGTACGTCCACATTGGTTTGAGTAGACTTTTGTACATAAGAAGTTTGATCAACTTTGATGTGGAGGTGTATTTATTATTGAATAATACCGTTTTTAGCATGCTTAGGTGATTATTTAGAGCTAATCTTTTGGTTCTTATATGGGGGGCCCAAGTAAGTCTTTGGTCGATGTTAGTCCAAGATATTAAACAGTAGGAGAGCTAGGAATGGGTGTACCATATAGAGATACATTTGGACACGGAGCCTGTCTGAGGGTGAAGGTAGTGTGAATAGATTTGCTTTGATTAACTTTAAAACGCCATATGGTAAACCAGTTTTTCATATGGGCAAGGTGATTTTGTAGATTCGAAGAGGCAGTGAGGGGATCCTTGTTGATGGAAATTATCGTTTTATCATCAGCATAGTCGGCTATACTGACGTATAAAGAGTGGTTGGTTGGTCTGAAGCATAAATGTTATATAGAATAGGGGATAATATGCCGCCTTGAGGAACACCTGCGTTTATAACTGCTATGTCAGAGTAATTAGAACCGTAGCGAATTTGAAAATGACGTTCTGTGAGATACGATTTTATAATTAGACCGTAAGCAGGTGGAAGGAATCTTTTAAGCTTATGCAGAAGGCCATCATCCCAAACTCGTTCAAAAGCTTGAGAGATGTCCAAAAACACACACGTACAATATAGTTTTTATTCCAGCGCATATGAAATAGCGTCAACTAATCTGTGCACTTGATGTATAGTCGAATGAGAAGCACGAAACCCAAACTGGGTATCAGGTTGTACGTTATTTTCAATAATAATGGGTAGTAAACGTTTAAGAATTAACCTTTCAAGTATTTTAGCAAATAAAGGTAAGAGACTAATTGGACGATAGGATGATAATATATCAGGAGATTTATTTGGTTTAGGGACTAATATGATAGTTGAAAATTTCCAAAGAAGTGGAAAATACGAAAGTTTAAGAATTGCATTGTTTATGTGTGAGATATGGACGATAGCATTTTTTGGGAGACTTCTGGCTACTTCAGCAGTTATAAGATCGAAGCCAGGTGATTTATTCAGAGAGCTTTTTTGAATGGTATATTTAATATCGTTTGGTGTGAATGGTTTGACTGGGAAAGAGACGGGAAGTGAAGAATTTAGAAACTCTTCAACCATATTCAAATGAGCATCGTCACTTATATCAGAGTGTGGCTGAAATGTATCAGATAGATGTAACTTAAAAATATCAGCTTTTTCAGAGTCAGAGCACACTAAACTGCCATCAGATTTTTTAATTGGGAGATTTGGTGCTTTATAACGTAGTATTTATTTTGTTGCTCTCCAGAGACTACCTCCCTTTGATTTAAGAAAGTAAATTATAATTTATTAATCGTTGTAATGTTGAGTTCATATTTGATTTTAAAATTAGTTTTTTTTTATAAGCTATTTAACTATTTAAGTAAGGAAACAAAAAAAACCTAACTTTCATGTGACAAAACTAAATTAATGTGTAAGCCACCTTAAGAATAATCTTAAATAAACGCCCTCCGAGTCTCAATGAATCAATTGATATAGGTAACTTTTATTGAGAAAATTCAGATGTTCTATTTTTGCTAATAAATAAATACATTTTGTTAATTTGTTAAAAGCAGTATTCAAGACTAAAATTGATTCACCCCTCCCCCCTTTCCAATTGAATTGACCTGAAGACGCCCCCGCTTATATATTTAGTGCCGGGGATGGTGGGACTCCAGACCACTGCAGATACCACAATAAATTCTGGAAGTTTAAATACCTACTTTAATCTCTTTTTCCCATGGTACAAGAAAATTATGTAATAATTAGGTTTAACTTGTCAAAAATCTTATAAATTTTGATTACCAACGTATTATGAGTATACCTAATTTTAGGAACTGGAACATATCAAATTGTATTATTGGTAGTATGTGGTTTAGTGAATATGTCTTGTGCTATATCTACGACAGCTGTGTCATTTATTTCACCTGCGGCTGAAATAGATTTCGATTTAAATTCAACTACCAAAGGAATATTAAATGGAGCGCCGTTTCTTGGTAAGTCCATAGTACAGTACACATGATGGTACTACAACAGGATGTGTATCTGCTAGAACTAGATCTCGGTACTTAATTTAATTTATTACTTATTAATATACCTTAATAAATTAACAATACTTGCATTCTATGCACGTCTATGCAGTCTATTAAATCTAACGTCGTACTACCTACCCAATTTAAAATATTATTTAGGTATACAAAATTACACTACCTAGTACCTAGATAAGTATGAAATTAATTAGTAATATTATATTTTTGTAATCATCATTTTTTTTAGGAATGGTATTAGGAGCATATTTCTGGGGTGTTTTTGGTGATTTAAAAGGAAGGCGACTTGTTATCTTGGGATCAATGGGAATGGATACATTCTTTACTATACTTTCATCCTTGGTACAGCATGTTGAATTGTTTTTCATACTCAGAGTAGGGAATGGATTTGCGTAAGTTATAGGCTATAGAACATGCATATTAAATTAATTATTTGTGTGTAGGTATACGTTATTATGAAATAACGATACTAAAAATGACATTAAATATGTTTTAATAAATATAAGTTGAATATCATTTGAAATACATTTTTAAATGATTTAACAACTCAAAATCAAACTTGTTAAGAATACTTTTCAAATGTATTTAAAATACGTATTCAAATATACTTTTTACAAATTTACTTTTATATACAAATATACTATTTTTCAGGTATTTAAAATACATTGGTCAAAATGTATTTGAAATACAAAAAAAGTATTCGAATACTTAACGAGACTGCTCAAAGTACTTATAATTAAAAAATAATAAAATTGTTTCGATTTTACTCGAAATATATAGAAGAAAATAGGGGCCGAACTTAGCCCTTCCTCATGATCACAGTCTTGAAATTCTACTATACTGTTATTTACTTATATTAGAATACCTAAACCTACATCAAAATTATTAAATACAGTTATTATTTGATATTTTATCAGGCATTTGTATTTTAATTTGTATGTATTTTTATAAAAGTATTAATTTCAGTATTATTGGCGCTACTTGTATGGTTTACGTGTACTTGGGTGAATTTTTAACACCTTCCAAAAGAGACAGTTATCTACTTTTTCTTGAATTATTTTGGGCTTTAGGAATGCTGATTGGGCCAGGTTAGTACATATCGTTTGCATTATAAAATTAAAATTGTGTTGAAGTTTTCGGGAAAATATGAATTTTAACATACCTACTATTTTTTAATTATATTACCTACATGGCTACATGTAAATATACACAATAGGTTATATATTATAATGATTATAAAATGTAATTCTGATTCTGAATAGATGATACCCAAAATAAAAATATTTAGAGGTTATTAAAAAAAGCACAATTCAAAGTGTAACAATAACATTTAAAACAACTCAGGAGAGGTTATTCATTTTCTTCACTTAAACATAATGTTGACCTGGGAGTCGGGAGAGTTTACTAGTTTTAAAAATCGGGATATTTTACCATACAGTCTGAAGAGTTTACTACCGCCCAAATAATAAAATACAAAGAATATAGTATAGTTCCTTTTCTTAAAAGATATCTTGGCCCGAAAACTTGTACATTCAGAGTATGTACCAACTGTGTATACCTACCAGTGTATAATACTATAAATTATAATGATTAGGTAATTTCTTATTTACATTCTGTTTAAATGAATTTTAAAATAAAAAATAATACTTTTTGAACATTAATTAAATTATATTATTAAATTAAGAATATTAAACGAACTGTAGATATATTCAACCAAGTCTTTAAATATGTTAACTATTTGTTTCAGCTTTAGCTATGGTGATAATTCCTAGCAACATGGTTTTAATTTCAACTGAATATTTCAAATTTAATGCTTGGAGAATTTTTATACTGTTAACGTCAATACCAAGTTCAATTTCATTCATATTGATTTACCAATACCCAGATACACCACGTTTTTTAATGTTTCGAGGTTATATAATTAAGTCCAGAGAAGTTCTTGAACAAATTTATTTAGTGAACAACAAATTTACAACTGTACCTTATCCGGTAAATATTGTCAAACACATTTATTTAAACTATTAGATTCTGAGCGGAATGATAAATGTATTTATTTTACAATGATGTGTAATATATTTAGTGGTAAGCTGTAGCCTGGAAGAACTTTTTTAAATGTTTTTTTGTATACAATAATTTTATATGGGAAACCAAGACAAATCATGATGACCTGCAAGTATCAGGCACATATTTATCGCGGATTCTTGGGATCCAAGCACCACACCTAAGATAATTTTTGGGGACCTCTGTAATATGGTGTAAATACATTTTTTTACCACAATCTCTAAATTTATAGACTAATTTTAAGCTAATAGTTGTCAAATATTTTTATGTTCTGTTAAAAATGTTGATAATTGACTATGAGGCACGGGTTAGAAACTTTCACTCTGCTCTGCGATGTATAGGTATTATTATTTACGCATTGAATTTTTCAAAATTTTCGATTAATTTTAAGCTATATTTATATTATGGAAATATTCAAATAATTCACCTTCATCATTTACCCTCAGAGGCAATAAAAATGTTTCAATTTTTAATTTCAGTATCATTTCTGGTGGGACAGTGAATTTAGTTACATTTCAGAAATCAAAATTTAAAATTACCTGTAGCATCGAGAACAGCAAAAAAAAAAAAAAAAAAAAACAATTAATTAATTACAGACGCGATTTAAGATAGTAGGTACCTACTATTTTAAATCGTGATTAAGGAACAACGGGAATTTTTACGCAAAACCAGTTTTTAATAAAATTGATTTTATTTTTTTGTTGTAACCACATATGACAGATATAATATATAATAACTATTAATAATAATTATTATATATATCTGTGGTAGTAACTCAAAAACGAATAATCGTAGATACCTACTTTAAATTTTCACAAAATGTTTATATGCTAGTTTTCCATACATGATAAAATTTTAAAAATATTGACTCTTTTGAAGCTTTTATACCTACGCATGATAATGTTTTGATTATTTTAGTTTTTTTTTTATTATTGTCGAAAAATATATTTCACACGTTTAAGAAAGTTGAAAATGTTTAGATAAATGTAATACAAGAACAATCAACAATTTTGCTGATAACAGATAAGTTGTTATTAAATATTAGTGTAGGTAGGTAATAAGTGTACATCGATAATAATTTATGAGCTTTTCAAATTTGGCAAAATATTTTATAGATACAATAACGTATAAAATGTTCAATTCTTACATCTAAGGATTGAGAATTAAAGAAAAATGTTTTTCTAGCTAGTTCATAGGTCAGTATTGTAACCAAAATATATTGTATAAAATAGTTTTATTTTAATAGATATTTAAATTTTAAATTTTAACGAAATTAGAAATTATATAACGATTTAAAGTAATTAAAATAATACTTCGATTTTCAACTTCGATACCTATATCTTGTTCGATTGGAAAGTGAATCTAGTTGGTGCATTCGGGAGGAGAGAAATTCCCAGTAGTTTCCAATTGCGACGGGAAAAACCAAAAAAAATAAGGAAAAACTAATATTTTTATGCAAAATTTTGGAATGTTTATACCTATAAGCATTTTCAATATAAATACCTTTAAATTTTCTAAATATTATGATTCATATTGAGCTGTTTATAGGCATATGACATTTTCAGTTTTATATGTCGATAAAAAATGTTTGATCGGTCAAAAATCTTTGAAATGTAGTAAAGTTCCTCTTAACATGTTGTTAGTGGAAATTAAAAAAAAATTGAGCTTAAATAAGAGTCTAAACTTCAAGTTTTGACTAAATTCGTAAAAATCACAAACTTTTTCAAATTATTTTGAGTTGGAAATGCATAGTAAATATCTACCGGAAACTCAAATCAAATTTTAACACAGCAGAATATTCAATTGATTGGTATTCGTTTAGTATGTGACCTACCAGACCGCGTGACCTACCGTATTGGGTATTCATTTAGTATATGATCCACAGGACCATTAATTAATTTAAAAACAGTTAAATTAAAAATCATAAAATTATGTTAATAATTATTTAACTAATATATTAGTAATACAATATACAAATATAAAATAATGACACATAGGTACCTATAACAGCAATAGGTATGTCAAAACTTGTTCGAACGCGGCTGAACTTCCCGCCGAATCTACTAAAGTCCAAAGGCTTTACAAGTCTCGTGGCCGGCGCGGAATGTTCGCGAAGAGTCGTTCCCCCTCCACGGCGTCCACCGTCCACGGCCCCCGTGCCGGGGACTCGGCCTGTTTGTCTCTTACCTACGCTCGAACTTGGCGGATCACGCACCGCCGGTTCGCGTTGCTTCGTGTGGCTGTGTTTAGACCTCGTGGTCATTATTAGCAATTATTTATTATTTATGATTATAATTGGTGCACGTCTATACCGTCGTAAACTTGGAGACAGTCTAAGTTTGACGGATTGTGTCACCGCGCACCACCGAATTTATTAATTATTATACGTGTCACCGCTGGGCCGTCGTTCAACTGCGCCGCAGTGCCGATTTAGGCTGTTGACGAGGAAGACGCTGTCGCATTTCCAGCGAGGACCGTGCTGACCAGTGACCTGTCCCCGAGGTGTCGATCAGGTCATATTGTAAAATTATTATTACCTATTGTTTAAATTATTATTATTGTTTATTGTTCAAATTATTATTATTATTATTGGTGTAGCGCGTGTTAAATTGTACACGGCGTCTACATTGATTACTAGTGTGTAAAAAATATATATATCGCGTCATTACGCATTAAGACTTGTACGAGGTAATATATTGTGAGTTCGCCCCTTCACGTCCACAGCATTCCGCGAGTCGTTGTCGCTAACCGCGATTTTCAAAGTAGGAGCGGCACGGCGCACATTTTTGGTAGCAGAGCGTGGTTTTCCGACCTTTGTGGGGGTTCGGTAGCGGTGTGTTTGGATCTTTTTGGTGGGCTGGTACCCACATAGTGTTTCCTACGGTGCTTATAGGCGACATAGTTTATTTTTATTTGTATTTGATTTATATTTATATTATATTACACTTCACTCGTAATGATTGACGAGAAAGACATTGAGCGTACGTCGCGCCAGCTCGCGCGTGCTATAGTAAAGCGTACTACCATTATATCACAGATTCGAGCCATACATGCTATGTCGTTGCGCGTACAATCAGAGCCTGATTTAGCCTCAGAGTTTGCGTTAAACGCGGCTGATTTAGACGCGCTATGGTTTCAATTTCGGACGGATGACGATTCTGTATTAGACCTTTTAGTGGCGTCCGATAAGCTCACCGATTATTCACCCGACTTGACAGCGGAGGTACGCCAACTAATTAACGCGGCTAAAAATATCGCCCAGCGGTTAATCCCGACAGGTGCCGACGCCGTCGACTTATCTTATCTCCGAGATGGGACATCAAGTGTTCAGAAACCGCGAGAGGATCCGGTTAAGTCTCTCTCCCGCTTACCTGATATACCTCTACCCACGTTCGATGGTGATTACCGATCGTGGCCCAATTTTCGCGACAGATTTTCAGCGCTTGTCAATTCGCGATCCAATTTATCGAATATCGATAAGATGTACTATCTAATAGGTTGTCTAAAAGGTGCCGCAGCCGACGCTGTCCGAGGCATACCGGTGTCGGCGGACAATTACGAGTTAGTAATGAACACCTTATCTGACAAATTTAATCGACCGCGTTTGGTCGCAACGGCACTTGTCGATAAATTATTGCAATCGTCGGCCATGACACAGGAGTCGCTTAACGACTTGAACACGTTTGTAGGCACGTTCAGTGAATCCATCTCATTACTAGACGCGCTAAGAATACCAGATTCTGGGTCTTTTATTTTATTTTCTATAGCGTTTCGACGTCTACCTGTTTCTACCCGCAAATTATTTGAAGCGAGTAGTACAGTCGATTACCCGTCGATAGGACAATTATTAGATTTTCTCCGGGCCCGAGTGGCCATTCTCGAAGTTGTGGGCGAATCCCACAAAAGTAGTACTAATAATGCGCCGTCAAAGTCGACAGGTCAGTTCCGAAAGGGGGGAGATTACGCTGGGAAGCCTCGCTTGACGTCTTTAGTCGCGTCCAAGTCAAATAGTACGTGTCCATGTTGTGCGGGTACACACGCATTAACATCGTGTTCGCGGTTCAAAAATTGGGGTCTCGACGAGCGCACTCGATGGACGCGCGATAAAAAATTATGCTTTAATTGTTTTAGTGACGAACACTGGGTTCCCAAGTGTAATGTTAAATCGAGTTGTCAGAACTGCACGCGTAAACACCACTCGCTTCTTCATCAAAATATATCGTCCAGGAGAGATCACGATGATCGAAACGAGCCACCGGCTGCCGAGGCGTCGTTATGCGCGTCCGTGCCGCGTCCCCCTCCACACCAGGCTTCGTCTATAATTTTAGGTACTGCACTAGTGCATATGCGCGATCGTTCCGGGTCGTGGCAAACAATGCGCGCACTGATAGATTGTGCGTCGCAGATAAGCGCCGTTACGAGTGCGTGTGCCGATCGGTTAGGCCTTAAGCGCGCCCGTTGGACAGCCCCGATAAGCGGTTTATCCGGAGTTCCCGTAGTAAATGTCCAAGGTCGCGTTGAGTGTAACGTACAGCCGCGGTTTGCGTCCGAACCTGTGCTTTCCATAAATGCGTGGGTGTTGCCCGCCATAACGAGTGACTTGCCTCGAACAACGCTACACTCGAGCATTAAAGAGAGGTATTCTAATCTCGCGCTCGCCGACCCGTCATTCGATATCACTTCACCTATTGACGTATTATTAGGCGGCGATGTATACGCGTCAATAATGGACGGTCGAAAATTTTCGGTGGACAAAGCTTTACCTACGGCGTTTAGTTCCGTCTTTGGTTGGATTTTAATTGGCCCAGTGTCCGACCGAGAGGCTCACCCGTATCAATCGGTGCCGGTCGCTATGACTGTTTCCATTGAAGGGTTAATGGAACGGTTTTGGCAGGTTGAGGAGCCAGAGGCTGCGCCCGCGACGTTCA